GGACATTTTAACTATGTTTATTCTTGCAATCCATGTGCATGGACTATCTCTCCTTTTCTTTATGCTGTCATTTATTTCTTTCAATAATGTTTTATAGTTTTCATTGTGTAGGACTTTTACTTCCTTGGTTAAATTTATTCCTAGATATTTTATTATTTTTGTTGTGATTGTAAATGGGATTGTATTCTTGAGTTCTCTTTCTGTTAGTTCGTTAGTAGAATATAGAAATGCAACCATTTTTGTAAGTTGATTTTGTATCCTGCAACTTTGCTATAGTTGTTGATTATTTCTAATAGCATTCCAATGGATTCTTTAGGGTTTTCTATATGTAGAATCATGTCATGCGCAAACAGCAAGAGTTTCACTTCTTCATTGCCAATTTGGATTCCTTTTATTTCTTTTTCTTGCCTAATTGCTCTGGCCAAAGCCTCTAGTACTATGTTGAATAAGAGTGGTGAGAGTAAGTACCCTTGTCTTGTTCCTGTTCTCAGAGGGATGCCTCTCACTTTTTCCCCATTGAGTAGATGTTGGCTGTGAGTTTATCATATATGGCTTTTATTATGTTGAGGTACTTTCCTTCTATACCTATTTTCTTGAGAGTTTTTATCATAAATGGATGTTGGATCTTGTCAAATGCTTTCTCTGCATCTATTGAGATGATCATGTGGTTTTTGTTTCTCATTTTGTTAATGTAGTGTATCACACTGATTGATTTACGGATGTTGAACCATCCCTGTGTCCCTGGTATAGATCCCACTTGATCATGGTGTATGATCCTTTTAATGTATTGCTGTATTTGGCTTGCCAATATTTTGTTGAGGATTTTTGCATCTATGTTCATCAGCGATATTGGCCTGTAATTTTCCTTCTTTGTGTTGTCCTTGTCTGGCTTTGGGATCAGGGCAATGTTGGCCTTGTAGAATGTGTTAGGAAGTGTTCTGTCTTCTTCAATTTTTTGGAATAATTTGAGAAGGATGGGTATTAAATCTTCTTTGAATGTTTGATAGAATTCTCCAGAGAAGCCATCTGGTCCTGGACTTTTGGGAAGTTTTTGATGTCTGTTTCAATCTCTTTACTTGCGATTGGTCTATTCAGATTCTCTATTTCTTCTTGATTCAGTTTTGGGAGGTTGTATGAGTCTAAGAATTATCCATTTCTTCTAGATTGTTCAATTTATTGGCACATAGTTTTTCATAATATTCTCTTCTAATCCTTTGTATTTCTGTGGTATCCATTGTAATTTCTCCTCTTTCATTTCTAATTTTATTTATTGGAGCCTTCTCTCTTTTTTCCTTAGTAAGTCTGGCTAAGGGTTTGTCTATTTTGTTTGTCTTATCAAAGAACCAGCTCTTAGTTTCATTGATTCTTTCTACTTTTTTTTTGTTTCAATTTCATTTATTTCTGCTCTAATTTTTATTATTTCCCTCCTTCTGCTGACTTTGGGCTTTGTTTGTTCTTCTTTCTCTAGTTCTGTTAGGTGTAGTTTAAGATTGCTTATTTGAGATTTTTCTTGTTTGTTAAGGTGTGCCTGTATTGCTGTGAATTTCCCTCTAGGAATGCTTTTGCTGCATCCCATATGAGTTGGTGTATTTTCATTTTCATTTGTCTTCAGATTTTTTAAATTTCTCCTTTAATTTCTTCAGTGATCCAGTGGTTGTTCAATAGCATGTTGCTTAGACTCTGCATATTTGCCACTTTTCCAGCTTTTTTCTTGTAGTTGATTTCTAGTTTCATAGAGTTATGGTCAGAAAAGATGCTTGATATGATTTCAATCTTCCTTAAATTTATTGAGGCTTGCCTTGTTTCCCAACATATGGTCTGTCCTTGAGAATGTCCCATGTGCGCTTGAGAAGAATGTATGTTCTGCTGTTTTTGGGTGGAGTATTCTCTATATAGATAGATAGATATAGATATATATCTATTACGTCCATCTGGTCTAGTTTTTCATTTAATTCCACTATTTCCTTGTTGACATTCTGTTTGGATGATCTATCCATTGATGTAAGTGGGGTGTTGAGGTCCCCTGCTATTATTGTGTTGCTGTTAATTTCTGCTTTTAGGTCTGTTAATAGTAGCTTTATGTACTTTGGTGCTCCTGTGTTGGATGCATATATATTTATAAGTGTTATGTCCTCTTGGTGGCGTGTTCCTTTTATCATTATATACTGCCCCTCTTTGTCTCTCATTGCCTTTTTTATCTTGAAGTCTACTTTGTCTGATATAAGGATGGCAACACCTGCTTTCTTTTGTTTGCTGTTAGCTTGGAGTCTCGTCTTCCCTCCCTTCACTCTGAGCCTGTGTTTGTCTTTAGGCTGAGATGTGATTACTGGAAGCAGCATATTGTTGGGTCTTGTTTTTTAATTCATCTAGCCACTCAGTGTCTTTTGATTGGAGAATTCAATCCATTTACATTTAGAGTGATTATTGATATATGAGGGCTTAATACTGCCATTTTATCCTTGTTTTCTGGTTATTCTGTATTTCTCTTGTTTCTTGTCCCATGTATTTTGGACTGCCAGTTCAGTTTGGTCGTTCTCTATGATGGTTTTTTCAGTTCTCTCTTTATTTATCATTTGTGTCTTTGTCCTGATTTTTTGTTTAGTGGTTACCATGATGTTTCTATATAAGATCTAGTAGATGAGATAGTCCATTTTCTGATATCCTCTTATTTCCTTAGTCTAAGCAGGTTCCATCCCTTTCCTCTTCACTGTTTGTCATTGTTGTCACAACTTACTCCATTTTGTGTTGTGAGTTTGTGGTTAAAATGAAGTGATTATAGTTATTTTTTATGTTTTACTTCTCTTTATCTTTAATGTTATGATTGTTTGCTAGCCTGTTCTAATACAGAGTTGCAATTTTCTGATTTTTTTTTCTATTTATCTCCTTGCTCAAAACTTTGTAAACCCTTTCTTTTTCATTTTTTCCAGCTGTGAGGGCCTTCTTGATTGTTTCTTCTAAGGGAGGGTCTTGTGGCAAGGAACTCCCTCAGCTTTTGTTTATCTGGGAAAGTTTTTATTCTTCATGATAGCTGAAGGATGTTTTCACTGGATAGAATATTCTTGGCTGAAGGTTTTTGTCTTTCCAGATTTTGAATATATCATTCCACTCTCTCCTAGCCTGTAAGGTTTCTGCTGAGAAATCTGCCGAAAGCCTGATAGGGGTTCCTTTGTAGGTTATTTTCTTCTGCCTTGCTGCCCTTAATATTTTTTCTTTGTCATTGACTTTTGCCAGTTTTACTAATATATGCCTTGGAGAAGGTCTTTTTACATTGATGTAGTTAGGAGTTGTATTAACTTCATTTACAAGCAGTTCCAGCTCCTTCCCCAGGTTTGGGAAGTTCTGTTATTATTTCTTTGAACAAGCTCTCTGCTCCTTTCTCCCTTGCTTCTCCCTCTAGAATACCTATAATCCTTATGTTGCATTTCCTAATTGAGTAGGATCTTTCTCAGAGAATTTCTTCATTTCTTTTTAGTCTTAGTTCCCTCCGCTCCTGCATCTGAAGCAGTTCTATATTTCTGTCTTCTAAATTGCTAATTCTGTCCTCCATAATATCAGCTCTGTTGTTTAAGGACTCCAGATTTTTCTTGATCTCACTCATTGTGTTTTTCATCTCCAACATTTCTGATTTTTTTAAATAGTTTCAGTCTCTTTTGTGAAGATTCCCTCTGTTCATTAATTTTATTTCTGAACTCATTGAACTTTCTGAGTTTTCTTGTAACTTGTTGATTTCTTTATGTTACTAGTTTCTTTATGATAACTATGTTGAATTCTCTGTCATTTAGATTGTAAATTTCTGTGACTTCAGGATTGATTTCTGGGTACTTATCATTTTCCTTCTGGTCTGGAGTGTTAATATAATTCTTCATACTATTTGATGGGGTGGACTAGTGCTGTTGCATAGTGGTAATATCTGGTTGCAGGTTCTACCTGCTGCCACTGGGCAGTGGGGCAGAAGCTGTGTCCTCTGAGCCTGCTGTAATCTCTGGCAGATGTGCCTGTCCGTTGGAAGCTGTGTTGACAGGACTCGTCTGCGTTTGCCTGCTGGCTGCTGCTGCTTTACAAACGTAGATGCACAGTTGCTCTGCTGGGGGTCCCCTGCTCTGACTGACCAGCCGAGCTGGTGTACCAGGTGCAAGGATAGGGTGGGGTGATTTCTTTCATGTGCATGATCCCAGGCGACCCTGCTCTCCACTTGCTGTTTGCCCTCTTGGGCTGCTCAGCTTGCTGAAGACACCCCTGCGATTACTTAGCTGCCTCTGTGTAGAGTGTCTGCACGGGCTGGGAGGCCAATCTCAGAGGGAAGGTGTTCTTGCAGAGGGCTGCCCTCTCCCCCATCTCCTCTCATTGTTGTGTGCTGGCTGCCACGCAAGGTCCCATGTGCTAGATTGCTGCTGTTCAGGAGAGAGAGGAGATCCCCTTACCTGCTTCCACTGCCTCCCAGGGGTCCAGCACCTCCACCTTCAGACGTATGGCTGTGTGGATCTCTCAGACGTCTATTGTATTGTATGAATGTCCTCTGCTAGGTTTTGAATGTCTCTCTATGTTAGGGGTGAGAGACTAAGGGAAGAGCTCATTCTGCCATGATGCTGACGTAACCCTTGTGTTTTTTTTTTTTAAGAAGACTGAGTGATTGGTTTTTTGCTTGTACATGTGATCATGGAAGAGTGATATTCTCTGAGAAATCAAGGGCATGTAGTATGAGCATACCCTCTTTTTGGCTATGCAGCCAGCCAGGAATTTCCAGGTATTGAGGTTTAGGCCCTGCAGGTAGGCTTGTCACTACATATAAACTTCTCTTTCCACCCCTTGCCCAACATCCCCAGCATTTTGCAAACCCATTGGGTTAAAACTCAGGCGTGTGACTTCCCATAGTGTGGGGTTTATCGTGGGCATGCAGGCCATGTGTGTGTTAGTGTGATGGGTGTGGGATGACGATGATGCAGAGCAGAGTCCAGTAGGATCCTAGCGATCACTGATTCAGTTCTCTGTTTCTGTTACAGCTCTTGCCAGCACTCAGCCATGGGGGATATGAAAACTCCAGACTTTGATGACCTTCTGGCTGCCTTTGACATCCCAGACCCCACCAGCCTTGATGCCAAGGAAGCCATCCAGACCCCCAGTGAGGAGAGTGAGAGTCCCCTCAAACCTGCAGGCATGTGTATGGATGAGAGCGTGTCCTTGTCTCACTCAGGATCAGCCTCAGATGTGCCGGCCGTGAGTGTCATTGTCAAGAACACCAGCCGCCAGGAGTCGTTTGAAGCAGAGAAAGACCACATTGCTTCCAGCCTCCTACACAATGGATTCCGGGGCTCCGATCTGCCTCCAGATCCCCACAACCTGGGCCACAACTGTGGGAAGTTTGATTCCACTTTCATGAATGGAGACAGTGCCAGGAGTTTCCCTAGCAAGCTGGAACCTTCCAAGTCAGAGCCATTACCAACCTTTAACCAGTTCAGTCCGATCTCCAGTCCCGAATCTGAGGATGCCATCAAAGATAATGGGTTTGGGATGAAGCCCAAGCACTCTGACAGTTATTTCCCACCCACTCCTGGGTGTGGGTCTGTCGGGGGCCCAGTCCTGGAGGCTCTGTCTAAGTTTCCAGTCCCAGAGCTGCATATGTTTGATCACTTTTGTAAGAAAGAACCCAAGCCAGAACCCTTGCCCTTGGGAAGTCAGCAGGAACATGAGCGAGGTGGGCAGAAGGCGGTGGAACCTCACAAGGAGCTGGATGCCAGTCGGTTCTTTGGGGAAGCTTTGGAGTTCAACAGCCACTCCAGCAACAGTATTGGAGAGCCCAAGGGACTTGCCCCTGAGCTTGGTACCTGCTCATCAGTCCCTCCTAGGCAGCGTCTTAAGCCAGCTCATTCCAAGCTGTCCTCTTGTGTTGCAGCCTTGGTGGCCCTGCAGGCCAAAAGAGTGGCCAGTGTCACCAAGGAGGATCAGCCTGGCCACACAAAGGATCCCTCAGGGCCCACTAAAGAGGGCTCCAAAGGCAGCCCTAAAATGCCCAAGTCACCAAAGAGTCCCCGGAGCCCTCTGGAGGCCACTAGGAAGAGTATCAAGCCATCGGACAGCCCTCGGAGCATCTGCAGTGACAGCAGCAGCAAAGGCTCCCCTTCTGTGGCTGCCAGCTCCCCACCAGCAATTCCCAAAGTCAGAATCAAAACCATTAAGACATCATCGGGGGAAATCAAACGGACGGTCACAAGGATCCTGCCAGACCCTGATGATCCCAGTAAGTCCCCTATTGGGTCACCTCTAGGGAGCGCCATTGCCGAGGCCCCGAGTGAGGTGCCAGAGGACGAGGTCACTGCCCTGCCTGCAGCAGAGCACTTTCCTGAGGTGGGCACCACTTCAGGGAGCCCTCAGGATGACAGGAAAGGGGATGAGAGCGTGACGAAGGCCAGTGAATCTTCATCTCCCTGTTGCAGCTCTGGGTCCCGGGCCCCAAAGGGGGCTGCCTCGGGCTCACAGATGGGCAAGAAGCAACAGCAGAGCACAGCACTGCAGGCATCCACCCCGGCCCCTGCCAACCTCCTGCCCAAAGCCGTGCATCTGGCCAACCTGAACCTGGTCCCCCACAGTGTCGCCGCGTCAGTGACGGCCAAGTCCTCGGCACAGAGGCGGAGCCAGACACAGCTGACGCAGATGTCGGTGCCCTTGGTCCACCAGGTGAAAAAGGCCGCCCCACTGGTGGTGGAGGTCTTCAACAAGGTCCTCCACAGCTCCAACCCTGTGCCCCTCTACGCGCCAAATCTCAGCCCGCCTGCGGACAGCAGGATCCACGTGCCGGCCAGTGGATACTGCTGCCTGGAGTGTGGGGACGCGTTTGCCTTAGAGAAGAGCCTGAGCCAGCACTACAGCCGGCGGAGCGTTCACATCGAGGTGCTGTGCACACTGTGCTCCCAGACGCTGCTCTTCTTCAACAAGTGCAGTCTGCTCCGGCACGCCCGCGACCACAAGAGCAAGGGGCTTGTCATGCAGTGCTCTCAGCTGCTCGTGAAGCCCATCTCTGCGGACCAAATGTTCGTGTCGGCCCCTGCGAACTCCACGGCACCAGCAACCCCGGCCGCCCCCGCCTCCCCCAAACATGGCCTCACTTCGGGCAGTGCCAGCCCTCCCCCTCCAGCTTTGCCGCTCTACCCAGACCCCGTGCGGCTCATCCGGCACAGTATCAAGTGTCTCGAATGTCACAAGCAGATACACGACTACATGGCTATGGCTGCACATTTCCAGAGGACGACGGAGGAAACCCAGGGGCTGGTAAGCAGACTCTGTGATGGGTGTCAGGCCCCTGGTGCACACGGGCTCCATGACTGGGCATGGAGAAAAAAGCTCATTGATGTGGGGGCAGTGGTGGCATCTTACAAGTCTTAGAAGAGGACATCTTGCTTGATGGTTAGTGACCCACCAGAACATGTCGTGCTTGGTGTTTATTGGGAAAAGCGTCCTGCCCACAACTGAGGGGAGACCCTGAAGATTTAGCGAGTGTATTTATGGATACTTAGTCCCACTCCAGTGGGCCGTCAGGGCCCACTGTTGGGCTTGGGCTGGGGCTCTACTGGATGGTCCTGTGGTCTCTGTCAGCTGTCTTAGCAGGGGCCCAAAGAACTTGGGGACAGAGGTAGGTGTGTCAGTGCCCCACTCCTCACTCTGTACTTCTGAGAACCGTGTCTTTACTAAGTTGTTCTGCCCTGCAGTGGACAGAGCTGTTTTTGCAATCTCTTAGGGGAAACTGCAGTAGGGCCCGTGGCAGGGCTGATGTGGAAAGGAGAGTAGACTGACATGTGGACCCTGTGGCAGAGGCTTTTGGGGCCCTCATCTTTCAGCTGGTTCTCACCACTCCAGGAAAGCAACTATGCTCATCAGCCTGTGCTGATTCTTGGTTATGCTGGATGAGATGTGGTTTTTTTTTAAAAAGGGCATTTGTTGCTGAAAATACCCTTTCCACCCTCTATGTCAGCGGTTGTCTGTATCAGCAAGCCCCTAGGAAGAGGCAGGCCTCCAGATGTGGCTCCAGAAGGCTCTTTTCTTTCTCCTCTAGGTGGACTCACGACTTAGCTAAGCTCACCCCTCATTGAGCCTCCCTGAACCAGGGCTACAGAGGCCTGGGGGGAAAGCAAGACAGCTTCTTTTACTCCTGTTCAGCAGGGGCCTGCACCCCTGTTGGTGGCCGATGAGCTTTGCATGTGTGTTCCAGGTGCCACTGTGTGCACAGTGGCTGTGTCGAACGCAGGGCTGCCAGAGGAGGGAGTCGTACCGTTCTTCTGGGAGCTCGCGACGGCTCAGCAAGGGCAGGGCTCACCACCCAAACAGCTACAGTGTGCGGCAGAGGAAGACTGGGGCTGGGAGAGGCTTATAAACATAGTTGCATAGAGTGCCTCGGAGGGACTGCTGCCTCCTGGCTCCAGGTGTAGGGAAGGAGCTGTGTGGACCTGACATGGAAGGTGAACCTGCAAGGATGAGCTTGGAGGAGGGAGACGGGCAAGGGTGTTCCAGGTATAGGGAACAAAGCTTTGTGAGAGTGCATCTGAGGAACAAGGAGTTGTTGGGGGTGATGTCAGCCTTGGGAGTGTTGGGTAGAGAGAGGAGGTGGAATTGCCGGGCGGCCCCCAAAAGGGCCAGCAAGATGCCATAGGGCTGCTGTTGCCTCTCGTCTTCACCTTCTCTGTTTTAGTTGGCATTTTCTTCGTGATGAGTCAGGTGGAGTGTGGCCATCCTGGGCCCTTTCTTCAGGGTCCTCAGGTAGTCCTGCTGTACCAGTGTGGTTGACTTGGGCTGGGATTGCTTCTTCTGAGTCATGTGATCAGAGCCATTGCCAGTCGAGGCCTGATGCCTGGGCTGTGATGTGTTTCCCACGCTGTTCCTTGCCTGCTTTCTAGAATCTGAGCAGGCAGAGGTCTGGGTGTAGGATCCCAGGCTGCCAGCCTTCTTATCCTGCATCGTCTTTGTGTCTTTCTTCTCTGGTGGGAACCTGACAAAAAGGCCCCCAGACAGGAAGGGAGGGAGTGCCCAGGAAGGCTGCCAGGCTTCTCTGAGCCTTGTTCGAATCCCTCACAAAATCTCCTGCCAATAAATGTGGCCTCTGAGTCTCAGAGAAAGGGTAAAGCTTGAGCTCTGGGATCAAAACCTAACCTTGAGGGCTGGTGGACTTGGGTTTCCTGAGAGTGTACCCAGGCTCTGGGCCGTGTCGGGGGCGGGCAGGGGACGAATGGGGTGGCATTGGGCTCCCCTCTAGAGCAGGGATTGCAGGGCAGCACGTTTGGGCCTCCGTCCTTCTTCCTGGGAGTCTGCCCCGGGACCGGACGTGCCTCTCTCCGCAGTGGCTGCACAGGTCCTCCCCTGGCGTTCCAGCCACCTTGTTGGATAGGATGTCAGCACAGAGACACTATTTCTTCTTGTTCTTAAGCTTTTATTTAACTTAACTATGATGTTATTGTCACACCTAACAGAATTAATAATTATTCCTTAATATTACCTAATACAAGTCCACATTGAAATTTTCCTTTCACGTCAAAAAATTGTCATTTTACAGTTGGGCTTGTTTTGAATCAGGATTCAAACATGGACCACACGTTACATTTGTTTGTTATCTCTTTTGAATTTCTCAATCCAGAACAATAACTCCTTCCACTCCACGCCTCCAGCCCCTCCCTTTTTTTCACGTCATTGATTTGTTGAAAACTGGGTCATGTGTCCTGAGACTTTTTAATTCTGGGTTTAACTGCTTCCTGAGAATTTTCCAGGACAATTTTGGGTTTGACTGATTGCTTCCTCGTGCAGTTAGTTTGTTCTTCTCTGCCCCATGTTTTGTCTGTAGCCTAGAAGTTGGCGATAAAGACTCGATTAGATTCAGGTTCAGTTTTGAGGAGGGGAGCACTGTGTTCTTCATGTGTCCTGACTTCAGGGGCTCAGAGTGCATCACTGTCTCAGTTTTAATGATGTTCAACTTGATCAGTGAGCTCAGGTGGTGATGTTCTAAGATCCCTTCATTGTAAAGTTCCCTGTCTTTTACCTAATGATTTTTGTATCTGTTAGTAATTGCTGCTTGAGGCAGTAAGTTTATTAGGAGTTACAGAGGATGTTTTTCTAATTTCATCATTTCTTTTTCATTTGTTAGCTGGAATTCTGTATAAAACATCTTCCCCTCTTCCATGAGGGCTATTTGGTTACCCTGAAATATAGTTATGTTGGAAAATGGGATAGACACTTAATTTGTTTCCCTTAGTTAACAATTTTCACAGTTGATGCCCTAACAGCCTCAAGTAGTGTTTTGAGAGTCCCTTCTCTATTATTTTTTTTAAGTTGTGGTAAAACACACACAATGCAAAGCTTCCCATCTTAATCGTTTTTTAAGTGTGCAGTCCCGTAGTGTTAAGTACTTTCACATTGTTGTGCGATCAATTTCAAACTCTTTTCATCTTGCAAAACTGAAACTCAGTACCCATTAAACAACTCTCCATTCCCCCTCCCCACAGCCCCTGGCAACCACCATTCACCTTTCTGTGTCTATTAACTTGACTGCTCTAGGGACCTCATATAAGTGGCATCTTAAAGTATTTGTCTTTTTGTGACTGGCGTATTTTACTTAGCATAATGTCCTCAAGGTTCATCCATGTTATAGCATATATTAGAATTTCCTTCCTTTTTAAGGCTGAATGATATTCTATTCTATGTATGTACCACATTTTGTTTATTTATGCATCCATTGACGGACACTTGGGTTGCTTCCACCTTTTGGGTATTGTGAATAATGCTGCTGTGAACATGGGTGTACAAGTATCTTTTCTAGACCCAGCTTTCCATTCTTTTGGGTATATACCCAGAAGTAGAATTGATGGATCATACGGTAGTTCTATTTTTAATTTTTTGAGAAACCTTCATACTGTTTTCCACGGTGGCTGCACTGTTTTACATTTCCACCAACAGTGGACAAGAGTTTCAGTTTCTCCACATCCTTACCAGCATTTGTTATTTTCTTTGTTTTTGATAGTAGCCATCCTAATGGGTGTGAGGTAACCTCCTCTGTTAGTTTTAGTTAGTGTTAGAATGAACTCATTGGTTTTTATATATTTCGTATGTTCATGAATTCAGTCATTCTTTTTGATGCTCAAGTGATCCCATCTTTGGTCAGTAGGAGCCCCTTCAAGTTGGCTCCTGTGTCCTCATTAAGCCTGAGAAGCTTCCTTACTTTGAGCCCCAAGAAGGTGTCCTGGGCACAGTCTTGTGCTAAACCTGGAATCAGCAATTTCCCCAAGGAGCCAGGTTTCTTTTGAGGAATGGTATTTAGAGGGCACATTCTGGGTACCAGAGATGCTCAGTGCTACTGGCTATATCTTTGTTTCTAGGCCTTTTCAGTGGCTAGAGCTAAGAACTGTAAACTTTTAAAAAGAGAAAAGAAAGATCGTGAGTTTATACTGATATTCAAATGTAAGATTTTCAGGTTTTTATGTAAATGATCTTATGCTGAAAATCTTGGTTCTTAAGATTTTCCTACTACACACACATACATTCAGACACACAAATTTCAAAATATCAAAACCAATATTATTTCTAACCTTAGGACAACTGTATAAAGTTGCGGGTGTATTTTCAGTTCTTGTCCTTAGAATCTATCACGTTAAGGATGTATAAGTTAAAACACTGTTTTAAAGATCACTGGTGATAATTCTTTCTCTGTATGGTTATGTCACCAACTTGATATGTAGTTAGGTTATTTGTTTCTGTTTTTCAATATTTAGGGAGTTCTTTTGTTTATTTAGTTTAACTTTATATTATTATTTTTTAATTATGTAAAACATTTATGTGATTACAGAGTTAAAACTATAAACAAGGTACATTCAGAAAAGTCTTGCTTCTGTCCCTGTACCTTTCACCCTGTTCCCCCTCCTTCTCCATAGGTAATCATTTTTATTCGCTTTTGGTTTATCACTCTGTTGCTCCTTTTTTGCAAATATAGGCAAATATGTGTCCTTTTCTTACACAAACTTAACATACTTATTTACTGTTTTGCACCTAGAATAATACTTATATATATATATATAAATTAAAAAACCCCAACTCTTTATTGTGGAATGTCCCAAACATATAAAAGTGGAAAGAATAGTGTAATGAGCCCTCATTTAACAAAGACCAACTCATGGCCCATCTTGTTTCATGTATTTTCTTGCCTGCCCCTTCCTGCAATGGATTATTTTTGAACAAATCCCAGTGTCATTGTGTCTATAATTATAATTTCAGTATGTATCACTAAAAGATAAGGGTTTTTTCTCCCTAAAAAAAATAGATATACTACATCACATCTCAAAATTAATAATTCTTTGTTATAAGCAAATCTTAATATGTGTCAAATGTCCCAATATTATCATCAAATAAATGTTCAAATAGCTCTGATTGTCTCATTTCTTTTTACACATGGCTTGCTTGAATCATTAGGATCCAAATAAGGGCCATATATTGCACTTGTTGAAAATTTCCCTTAAGTCTCCTTTAATCTGTAAGTTCCCCTTCCCTCTCTACCTTTTTTTTTTCCTTGCAATTTATCTGTTGAAAGAACTGGGTTGTTTGTCCTGTAGAGGTCCCACATTCTGGATGTCACTGATAAAGGTGGAGACCTTTTCCTGTCTTCCCTAGCACTTGTTCCTCTGAGCATCTCCTCTGACCCCAGCTCAGTGGCCCTGCAGTGAGTGGAGCAGCTGTCTCCTTTTGCCAAGAAGGGCTTCTCCAGATGCAGGCACCAGCTCAGTCCCTTGCTTTCCCGCTCTGGGCTGTCTGGGCACTGCCCACTAGAGAGCTTCAGTGAGTGGGGCCACAGACTTCTTGTCCCCTGGTTCTCCCCTGGGGCCAGGAACAAAGGAACTGCTGCCTTTTCTGCCCTTTTGTGTGGGTGTATGTGGTGAACTGTGGCTCAGGGCACCCCTCAGAGTGAGCAAACAGGGCTGAGGGAATGGAAACTGGCAAGGCCACCCAGTCAGTCTGTGTTGGGGGCTTCTGAGGACCAACCAGGATGGGCTCAGGTCCGTTTTGGGAGTCACCGAACCATCTGACTAGAGGGGTTGAGTAGGACCTGCCTCTGCTGAGCTAGGGCAGAGGTTCTGGTGAGTCTGGCGGTGTAGTGAGGTCTTAGAATTCAAGAAGTGCCTTAGGCCTCTAGAAAAGCTGGTCCTCTGTCAAGCCAGAGGGAAGAAACACCCACAGTTTTAGAGGTAGGATTAATCTTTGGGAAAACAGGGTCAGGTGTATCTCTAGTTAATACGATGAGAGGCAAAGCTTACTTGGGTATCAGTATCAACACCTAATGAGGCCTGGGGTGTCACAGGTATCCTAGGAGAGTTGGCAGAGAGATGAGGTGGGAGAGGAGGTGGTTCTGACCCCTCTCCTAGGAAAGCCAGACAGCTCTGATTGGAGAGCCACGGGCTGCCGCACCTGTGTGAACTGTTTTCTTGGTGTTCTTTCCTAGACTTGCCAGGTGTGCCAAATGCTGCTTCCCAACCAGTGCAGTTTCTGTGCCCACCAGCGGATCCATGCACACAAGTCCCCCTACTGCTGTCCGGAGTGTGGGGCCCTCTGTCGCTCTGCCTACTTCCAGACCCACGTAAAGGAGAATTGCCTGCACTATGCCCGCAAGGTGGGCTACAGGTGGGTGCTGTCTGGCGCGCTGTCCCGGGGTTGCCCAGTGGCTGGTCCTTTTTCTGGACCAGAGCTCATGTAAGACTGAGTTTTGGTCTTAAGAGGCCTGGGCTCTAGCCTAATGAGACAAGAATGTTGATTGGTACATAGACAGACATTTTTATTTTGTAGAGAACAAGAAGAGCAAGGGGGAAAAGAGTAAGTTTAAAAAGTTAAACATTTAAAAAAATAGCTTCGAAGGGGAGGGTTTTGGGGGGATTAGTATATATATAACATTCACTTTGTCAGTTTGGTGTCTAAGAGTATATAAATTTAATTTGCTTACAAAGTGGCTGTGTGTGACATATTAAAGTACTATAGTAAATTTACTAACTGCGGTACTTTCAAATGCTCTCAGTTTTGCTCACATGGAGCTGCAAGTTACGAAACTCGAAAGGCTCCAGGATCTTTGTGCTCATTAGTTTTTGTCAGCTTATGAGAAGCAAGCAAAAACCTGAGAATGAAAAAAATGATCGCCTCATAGTAAAACCAAGAAAACTCTATTTTAGACTGAATCTCCTCCATTGTATCAAACATATGTAAGCAAGAAGTCATTTTCAGGAGAAGGATCAAAATGGGAGGAACACTCCCTCCAAAGCTCATTGATCTGTAACTTTTACATTGACCCAATCGGGTCTCCTTTACTGATTTACTGCAGTTGGGAGTTTCTACGTCTTCTGATGGTTTATTTTATTATTTCACTTTCAGAAATTAACTTTGCCCAAATTTAGTAGTTTTCTCCTCTTTTAGATTTTAAAAAATTTACTGATTTAGTTCACTTAATAAACTTTTTTTGAGTACTTATTATTGTCTTTAGCATTGTGCCAGACACTCAAGATACAAAGATGATTAAGACATTGCTCCTGCCCTCCAGAGGGCTTCAGTCGGGTAGGTTACAAACATATGTACATGAGTAATTATAACTCAGAGGGGTAGGTCCCGTAGTAGAGGAATGGCCAGGAAAGCTTCACAGAGGGGATCATGGGAGGTTTTCAGGCAGAAGAAAGGGGAAAAGCATATCTGGCAAGGGTATAGGCAGGGGCCCCAGCACACGCAGGAGGGGTTACAGGAATGGTAGGCATTCCTATAGATGTGGGTCAGGATGAACTGGGGGGAATGGTGAGAAAGGAGACTAGGGAGTTGGTGGAGGCCAGGCCGTGCGAGACCTTGTGTCCTTGGCAGACCTTCGGACTTTATCCAGTGGACAGTGAGGAGCTAGCTACAGAAAGACTTGCAGCGTAGGAGTGATCCGGCTAGACCTGTGTTTCGGAAAGATCATTTTGGGAAGCTGACACGGCTGTTAGAGAGGGGAGAGACTAGAGACTGGCTGAGAGGCAAGTGTGATGGTCCAGATGAGTTGCTGAAGGCTTCAGCTAAGGCACGGCTGTGGGGATGGACAGGAGGTAGATTTGAGAGAAACTGAGGATGTAGGTGCATTAGGACTTGATGATAGCTTGTATATGGGGGTGTGGGGTTAGTGATGACTCCCAGGTTTCTATCTTGGTATAAACATTTCCAATGTAGACTAATTTCTTTTGCTTGTTATGGAGCATGGAGAACCTAAAATGTACGAGAAGCAAAACAAACCAGAGATGGGGTTATATAAAGCCTTGCCACCACGTTGTGGAAGAGCATTGTTTGGCAGCATCCCAGACTACATTTTTAAACCAAACACCTGAACGTGCATTTTTGCAGTATCCTGTGACATTTGAAAATGGCTTTCAAGTGTGTGCTGCTTGTTTCAAGATCCAGTCCAATCCAATAGCAATGCAGTCAACACCTGAATTTTTATCTTTGAATCTTGAATCCAAGAATTTTTCGATAACACAGCTGGATTAATAGTATATTTTTTTGTCTTTTAATTAAATATTTTACTTTATTCTGTAAGAGTAAAAAGAAACATAGTGTCTCAACAGCAATTCAGTTTATGAAGCCTTTTTGTAAGAGATGTCAGACAAAAAAGTATTGTGATTCAGCTAGAGGGATTACTGAAGACATGGACATTAAAATCTTCAGTGATCTGTGGTTGAACTCAGAAGACATACACACTAATAGAGTATTCATTATACTTAAGATCTTCGACTATTAATATTTTTTATAACACTTTATTCAGTTATAATTCACATACCATACAATTCACGCATTTGAAGCGTACGATTCAGCAGTTTGTAGTATATTCACAGAGTTGTACAGTCAGTCACCACAATCAATTATAGAGCATTTTCATCACCCAAAAAGAAACCCTATATTTGCAATCTTTCCATCCCCCAGCTCTAAGCAACCACTAATTTACTTTCTATCTCATAGTTGTGCCTCTTTTGGACATTTCATATAAATAGAATCATATAATATGTGGGCTTAGCCTAACGTTTTCAAGATTCATCCATGTTATAACAGACAGCATTATTTCATTCCTTTTTATGGCCGAATGCTATTCCATTGTATGGATATATCCCATTTTGTTTATCCATTCGTTGCTAGACATTTGGGTTGTTTCCATCTGTTAGCTATTATGACTGTTGCTGCTAATGAACATTAATGTACAAGTTGTGCAACATATGTTTTCAGTTCTTTTAGATATATTCCTGGGACTCGAATAGCTAGGTCAAATGGTAACTATATGTTCAACTCTTTGAGGAACTGCCAGGCTGTTTTCCAAAGTGGCTGTACCATGTTTATAGTCCCACCAGCAGTGTATAAGAGTTTTGATTTCTCTACATCATTGCCAAATTTGTTATTGTCTGACTTTTTCTTTTTTAAAGATTGGCACCTGAGCTAACATCTGTTGACAATCTTCTTTTTTTCTTCTTCTTCTTCTTCTTCTTCTTCGTCTTCCCAAAGCCCCCCGGTACGTAGTTGTATGTTCCAGTTGTAGGTCCTTCTGGTTGTGCTGTGTGGGACACTGCCTCAGCATGGCCTGATGAGCAGTGCCATGTCCGTGCCCAGGATCTGAACCAGCAAAGCCCTGGGCCACCAAAGCGGAGTGCGCAAACTTAACCACTCGGCCACGGCACTGGCCCCGATTGTCTGACTTTTGATTGTAGCCATCCCTGTGGGTGTGAAGTGGTATCTCCTCATGATTTTGATTTACATTTTCCTGATGGCTTATGGTGTTGAGCATCTTTTCATGTGGTAATTTGTATATCTTCATTGGAGAGATATCTGTTCAGATTCTTTGCCCATTTTTAAATTGGGTTATTTGTTGTCTTCTTATTGAGTTGTAAGAGTTCTTTAGCTATTCTAGATACGAGTCCCTTGTTGGGTATATGATTTGCAAATATTTTCTCTCATTCTGTGGGTATTAATATTTTTTAGTAGATTCTCAAAAGGTACCTATGTTCCATTTCATTGAGCTCTACTATAGAGTCTTACAATAATATTTTATGTTTTGTATTAATTTTGCTTTTCTTGAGGAAGATGTATAAAGCCTGTACATTTATATATATTTTATGTATATATATTTATGTAAAATGTATATAGACATTATATATATTTAGAATTTTATAAATTATTTTGCTTTTTGTTGATAATTTGGAGAGTAATCAATGACGATATAAGGGAGCAAGTTTAGACTTTTTAATAATGTTACTTATTGTTTGTGATTGTTGGCAAAATTAAATATTTTACTGCTCTTTATCCTTTTGAAAACTTTATGTGTTTAACAACATCTGGTTCTATAATTGTCTCTTTTCCCTTAAACGATTGGTAAGGAGTGGTGTCATGGGGTGGATTTCTCTTCTGCACACTTTTTCATCCATCTGTCAACCTGGACAATTCAGGCCTCCGTGGAGGCTCCTTGGCCTGTGTCGCTTTACCTCTTCATGCTCTGGCTTTCCGTGAGGTTTGTCTGAAGAGTGTCTACGAGGTAAATAGAATGGATTTTCAGTTGTGGTTTTGAAGAGTATATTTATGTTGTGCCTGCAGGAGTTTGGTCAAACTGCACAAATAAAGCCACTGAAGAGCTTCTTCACAGGTGTGCTTGGCCACTTTGGATGAATTTTGAAATACGTGGATTTTTTTCTCCTCTTAATACTTTGTGGTATGGAAGTAGTTCTGTGTGCTAGAAGTCGGTCACTATTTTGTTTAGCAGGAGAGAAAAGAAAATATAATAAGTAGTTTGTGTAGAAACTCTAATTTAAAACATGTGCGCATTTAGTAATGAATGCTCATTGGAGTTAATTGCAAACAGCTTTCTGGTTCTGTGTACTGTTCCTCATTGCTAATTAAGCTTGGAGAGGTGAACTGTGTACTGCTCCTCATTGCTAATTAAGCTTGCTGTCCCTTGCCCCACCCCCCAAACACACACACACAGAAGGAGGAGAAACAAAAGAGTTGGTCAGGATTCTGTGAGGACTTTTGCGGATGGCCGAAGTGGGCTAATGTAGTAAAATGAAGGGTAATATTTGGGAGTCAAAGAATTCTTAAGTGAAGGGATGTCCTTTCTTTCAGTAAAGCAACAGCCTCTCCTCTAGGGCTTGCTGGGAGGTCAAGGTTACGGGAACAGGCCATACTGCAAGAAGAGGAAGATAAAGGTTATCTCGAGAGAAATAGCTGGGAGCAGGGAAAGTCTTTTCTCATGTAGGGGGACTTGTGTGTGTGTGTAGGTTGGAGGACAGACTGAACACACGAGAGGGTCTAGGAACCTGTGTGGATGCAGAGTGGCATGGAGGAAGCTCACATCATTCTCTAATACTGAAGAAGGACAGGCAGTGTTTATAGAGGGGGATTTTGAAGTGAAAGAAGAGTCCAACATGATAGTCCTCATGTTTCAGAAAAATGAAAAAGAAGAGTCCTCAATTTCAGAAAAATGGTTTAAGGCAGTTTGTACATTATGAAAATGTTATATTCACTAGACAAAACTCAGAAAATACAAATTGATAGGGAGAAAAACAAATAAAAATTTATCTATAGTCCCACCAAGGACTAATGAGCTGCGTGGTCCAGGATGGTACCAGGCACATGTGGCTGTTGAGCACTTGAAATGTGGCCAGTGTGACCGGTCATTTTACTTTATTAAATTTAAAAAGCCACGTGGACAGTGCAGTACAGAATGTTTCCATCACCACAGTAAGGTCCACGGGACAGTGCCACTCTGGAGCCTTTCTTCCTGGGCTTCCAGAGTGGTTTGTTTTAATGTGGCAGTTGTTATGGCGAGCACAGCATTTCCTGACTGTACGTTTTATTCAGTGGCCATCCCTGCTTATTCACTACCAGCCTGTGGGAAGGCACAGGCTTTCTGTAGCTTCCTTCTGAAATTCCTCCTGAACTCCCACAGTTGTGTCACACTTTCATGGGTACTGTTTATGTCATTTTTGAACCATTCCCCTCCCTCTCCTCTCCCACCAACTTCTCTTATCTGGGCTTGAGTTTTTGCTTTGCAGAAGAACATCCTCTGGCCAGGGAGGGGAGGTGGAGGTTTCTCCTCCCTTCTCTGTCAGGTGTCACCTTGGGCTTGGGGGACCCTTGGTGACCTCGTCATGCCCGATGGCAGCAGGCAGGCTCTCAGAATGTGTGGAAGTTTCTCTTCCCTTTCTTTATCAGACGTCGCCTTGGGCTTGGGGGCCCTTGGTGACCTCATCGTGCCAGATGGCAGCAGGCAGGATCTCAGAATGTGTGGAGGGTGGGAGGTTGAGTGCCCAAGGGACTGGGAGAGCGAGGTTCCCCGAGATGGCTCTGCTCCTGGCTTCTATTCCTCCTTTCTCAGTACCATCTCTGGGTCTCACCCCCTCCTCACTTCTACTTTTCAGGTGCATCCACTGCGGAGTTGTCCACCTGACCTTGGCCTTGCTGAAAAGCCACATCCAGGAACGACACTGCCAGGTTTTCCACAAGTGTGCATTCTGCCCCATGGCCTTCAAGACTGCCAGCAGCACCTCCGACCACAGCACTACCCAGCACCCCACCCAGCCCCACAGACCCTCCCAGTGAGTGCAACTGCAGGCCAGAAGGCCCTGTGGGGCAGAGCAGAGTGGTCCAGGTTCTGTGGGGGGAGGTGTTGGATGGACTGGGGAGCCGGGGCTAGCGTCAGAGAAGCCTGGAGTCCACTGGCGACATCCTGAGACAGGGGAGTATCCACATTGGCTCGGAGTAGTGCTTTCCCGAACCTGACCCTGGTCGAGAGAGAGCAGAGATGGGGTGGAAGGGCTGTGTGGTTCTGCCACCAGAGCCTTGGCCACCTCACACCCTGGGGCTTGTCTCTTCAGGCTCATTTATAAGTGCTCCTGTGAAATGGTCTTCAACAAGAAGAGGCACATTCAGCAGCATTTTTACCAGAATGCCAGTAAGGCGCAAGTGGGCGTCTTCAAGTGCCCTGAGTGCCCACTCTTGTTCCTGCAGAAGCCAGAGTTGATGCAGCACGTCAAGGTGGGATGCCTTGGGGGAGGAGGGCGTGTGCCTCAGCCAGGGGTCTGACTCCATGTGTCTTTCCCCTTGCCCAGTCAGTAATCACTGTCCTCATCTCCAGAGTACCCACGGTGTTCCCCGAAACGTGGACGAGCTGTCAAGCCTCCAGTCGTCAGCTGACACATCCTCAAGCCGCCCTGGCTCTCGAGTTCCCACTGAGCCCCCAGCCACTAGTGTGGCTGCTCGCGGCAGTTCCCTGCCTTCCGGCCGCTGGGGCAGGCCCGAGGCCCATCGCAGGGCTGAGGCCAGGCCCCGGCTGAGGAACACTGGCTGGACCTGCCAGGAGTGCCAGGAGTGGGTTCCTGATCGGGAGAGTTACGTCTCCCACATGAAAAAGAGCCATGGCCGGGTAAGTATAGTGACATGGTCACAGTGCAGTGCCAGATTCTCTGGACTTCTTCCTGTGAGGTCAGAGCCCCCTTATGTGTCCAACCCCTTAGGGTTCCTGGTGCTTTGGGCAGGGTGGGTCCCACAGATCTTGAGGACTTTGGGGCATCCTTCTTTCTGCCTACATCATCTGAGAAGAAAGATGTACTCAGAACTATCTTGTGGTTCTGATGCTTTGCATTCTGTCATCTCCCGTAGACAGTGAAGCGGTACCCGTGTCGGCAGTGTGAACAGTCCTTCCACACCCCCAACAGCCTGCGCAAACACATCCGCAACAACCACGACACAGTAAAGAAAGTCTACACTTGTGGGTGAGTTCCCAGAGTGGGGAGCCAGGAGGCCTGCGATTCACAAAAACTGTCCATGGTACCTCTGCCGTGAGATCAGAAGTCAAAGGCAAGAGATGAGCGAATTTCTAACGGAAAAACACTGTGGCTGGATCAGAAATCAGGGCAGGTCAGAAACCAGCTTTTAGGACCTGGTAGCTCCTGAACCCTCCCTCCTCCCACCTCCCTGACCCTGGGCGGCACTGCCAGTCAGCAATGAAGGGCCTTGAGGTGTGAGAGCAGTGGTGGTGATGTGGCTGTGTGCCTGTCTGAGCTTCAACACCATCTGTCTGTGCTTCAGGACGTACCCCGGCCTCTTTCCTGCCATCCACCAGCCCAGCACTTGGGCCTCTGGGCGGTGGCATGAGGGAGTGGAGAGTAAGATCATGGCCCAGGGCCAGTAGAAATATTCTGACTTGCTGTTGGCTGGCTTGCTGGCTGGATTTCTCTAGGGTACCCAACAGCACCCAGCCTGCCTGAGGACCGCCCAGCCAGCTCTCTGCCTCCTCCAGACTCTCCCCTGGAGCCAGAAGCAGCTTTCGCCTCCACCTGCCCGCCGGTCCTGCCGGGATCCACGGGGCCCTGGAGACTGTCATCTCACACGACCTCTTCTGGCTGTGCTTTTGCAGGTATTGCACAGAGGACAGCCCCAGCTTTCCTCGGCCCTCCCTCCTGGAGAGCCACATCAGCCTTATGCATGGTATCAGAAACCCTGATTTGAGCCAGACGTCCAAAGTCAGACCTTCGGGTGGACATTCCCCCCAGGTGAGTGTGGGGCTCTGCCCTCTGGAGCAGCCCGCTCCGTGAGCCTGGAGCTGGAGGGCACGAGGAAGCTACAGGGAGCCCATCTGTGACTGGGGCCGTAGAGCAGTGACAGCTTCCCTCCATGTGGGTCGCTCTCTAGCCCTGTGTGACCCTCCTGGGGACTCCACACAAGTAAAGGACAGGGACAGATACCCATGCAGCAGCCCATCGGCCTTTTGTTCCTGTTGTTTCCCTGTCCCGTGACCCCGTCCTCAGGTGCGGGCTGCACTCTGGACGCTGGAGCGCTTTCATGCACACCGTGCTGCTTCCGCCTCACTGCAGGTCTGGGAGGCAGGGCGGGCTGGCTGGGTGTCGGTGGGGATGGTGATGCTTGGCTGAGTCACACCCACCCAGCCCCCACTGGGTGAGGGCTGGGTGGGGGAGGAGCCAGCCTAGATTCCTGCTACCCTGGCCCCTTGTCCTATGACGTCATCCCATTCCATGCCCTTTTCCCATCTCTGGTGAACTACTGGAGCAACCTGGTTGCTCCTCCTCACTGTAGTCTCTTCCTACTCCATGGTAGGGGGCTGCTCCTCAGAGGGGTCGGGCATGTCTGGGGGACTCTGAGCTGCCTGGAATTCCAGAGCATTCTTTCTTGGCTATTCAGAGAAGGGTGCTGGTCACGAAAGGCCCTTTCACACATAGCAGGTGGGGTGTCAGTTGACATTTTGGCAACATCTATCTATGATTAAAATGCACACCCTCCCTTTCCCTCCAAAGGCATAAGCCCTTTGATCTAGCAATTCTGCTTCTAGGGTTTATCTGCCAGGTATATGTGCCTTTGGGCATAAGGCAGTTCCTTCAAGGATGTTGACTGCAGCGCTGTGTGCAGTAACAGTATGGAACCCGGCCAGACGTTCACCAAGGAGGACTGCTCGTCCCCACAGCGGGTTGTGTGCTGCTGTCAGGGGAACGAAGCCCCTGTGTGTGCTCTCGTGGAGACGAGCGCCAGTGTATGTTGTTAAGTGAAAAAAGCAGGGTGAAGAAAAGTGTGCATGTCATGCTATCATTTTGAGAAAGACAGCAGTTTTATTTTTGTATATGCATAGATAGACTCTCTCTGGGGGAGCCACAGAACCTAGGTAATAAGGTATTCCCTGGAGACCAGGCCTGGGCCGTGGGCTAGGAGGGCCTTAATTTTCTCCATACCCTTCCCATATCTTTGGAATGTTGTGTCACATACACATGTTACATTAAAAAAAAAAAAAAACTAAAAAACTAAAAAAAGGAACAAACCAAGTGTAAACCAGCGTTCGGTGCTGCGGTGACTGTGGCCTGGGCGGTGATCCTGCGAGTCCTTGGGCTGCACTAGTCACGTCTGGGGGCCCATGGCTCGGGCTCGTGCTTGGCCTGGACTCTCTCACGCTGTCTCCCCTTTCAGGTGAACCATCTGAAAAGACCAGTCAGCGGCGTGGGGGACGCTCCAGGCACCAGCAATGGCACTATCGTCTCTTCCACCAAAAGGCACAAGTCCGTTTTCCAGTGTGCAAAATGTAGCTTTGCCACAGACTCGGGGCTCGAGTTTCAGAGCCACATACCTCAGCACCAGGCGGACAGCTCCACAGCCCAGTGTCTCCTCTGTGGCTTGTGCTACACCTCTGCCAGCTCCCTCAGCCGCCACCTCTTCATCGTCCACAAGGTGAGAGACCCGGAGGAGGAGGAGGAGGCGGCGGAGGTGGCGGTGGAGGCGGCAGAGCCAGAGGAGGGCTCCGGGGAGGAGATGTCCGTGGAGACCAGGGAGAACGGACTGGAAGAATGTGCCGGCGAGCCTTTGTTGGGCGACCCAGAGATGAGGAGAGCACTGGGCCCGGCCCCTGAGGAGGACGGTGCCCAGGATGCTCAGAGTCGGCCACAGGCCTCTCAGGACCAGGACAGCCACGCGCCGTCCCCTCAGGTGTGACCAGAGGCTTTGCAGTGTGTGCAGTCGGGGTGGTGCCGTGGCGTCCTCCGCCTGCCGTGTGGACAGTGGGAAATAAAAGCCTCTGCCCCGGTGTGAGTGTGGCCGGCTGTGCCCTGGAGCAGTGTCTGCCCTGAGTGGAGAGCTGGGTGTCCATCAGCCCCAGGAAATGTGGGGTTGCCCAGGACCCTCAGAGCTCTGAATTTGCTTCTGTTATTTATGGCTTTGTGCTGCTTCTTGATGCCCCAACTCTTGTCTGTGTCCTTCCAACCCCAGGCTGCTTAAGTGGCCCAACCTCAGTGCTGTCAACTTGGCTTGAAACCCCTCGGTGGCTGTGCTCTTCTGGGAGGTTCCCTGCTTGCTGCCTTCAGCCAGGGGCCTCCTTGGAGCTCTCTTGGCCTGCGGGCGGCGGCTCTCCTCCTGGCCGTCAGAGCCTGCGAGGGGTGAGGGTGCTCGTGCCGTCCCTCTGGGAGAGCTCTGCCCAGTCTGGCTCGGCGAGGGGCCTTGGTCACCGTGCCCTTCCTTCCTGTCTTCTCTGATTCTTTTCCCCAAAAACAGTCCTGGAGAATTAATCGTCACGCTGGCTGGTCCTGCCTGTGTGGGTGGGAGACACTCGGGCAGCATACCTGTCTGGAAGCCGGGAGAGCAGGAGGTGCAGCCAGGGCGGGCGGGCGCCGAGAGGCAGGCCCCTTCAGAAGGAGCTGGGTGTCCTTGTTCTGCTGCTGTTCTGCCTTTCCTGGCAAGTGGGGTTTGGGGCACACAGACGTTGGAATATTTGTACTCTTGTTCCTGTGCCATTAGAGAGGCTGCTGCCCCAGGAAGGCCAGCCCCTCCTCCTCTTGGCTACACTCATGTTGCTCAGACTATATTTCAAATAAAAAATCTTCTTACCATGCAGGTAGCTCTTGTATTCCTCTTCAAGTAAGCCTGGCCCGACCCTGCTCCAGCGAGGGGTCTTTCCCAGACTTCCCCGTCTCTGAGGGAGAACAGTGTTTCCTACTGTCCATGCAAGATCCTTTCTAGTTTCTGGAGCTGTGGTTAGGAAGCCAGGGGCCCGGTGCTCCTGGGTTCTCTAGAGATCGTCTGAAATGGTGAGGGGAGGGTCTTCCTCCTGGTCCAAAGTCACCTCGTCTGAAATGGTGAGGGGAGGGTCTTCCTCCTGGTCCAAAGTCACCTCCAAGGTCTCCCCTCGGCTAGTGGCATTGGCTTTAGGGCCTCTTGAAATTTCCTGGGCACCTCCGTCTTTTCCTCCAGATGGATTTTCAACCTAAGAGAACCCTTTATTGGGGGAGGGGGTATAGAGGGAACCTGTAATTTTCTCTCAGTGTTCAAGAGGCCTTGGTATTGCCATTGCCACGGGGATCTCAGGTGTGGCAGAGTTGGTACCAGACACGGGCTGGCAGAGTTAGAGCCTCACACAGCACAGGCTGTGTGGAGGTATTACCTGACCTCCGGCCTGAGCGGCTGCTGCAGCCCTGCCTGGGTGGACATGGGGCTGGGCCCGGCAGGGTCTAGTGCAGCGAAGGGAAGTGGGTGCTGGCTGTGCTCCTAGAGGTGGTCTTTCAAGGAGGGCCTCAAACATCCACTATAAATTAAGTCAGATAAATATACCTGACCTTTTCGCAATTGAAAAAAAAATACATTTTCTTCCTCTATCAAATGCCAGATTTTTAGTGGAAATGCTAATGGCATTGGAAAAGGTTAGTGCTTGCCTTAGTTTCAGACAGACCCTGCTGTTTAATGACGGCTATACCTGGCAGGACCACCACATCCCTGCTTCCCAGGCAAACAGTGAGGGCAAGCCGAGCCTGATTCCAGCTGCCTGCAAAGCCAGAGCTACCCCAATGTAGCTGTCACCCCTTTCCTAACTGCGGTTGCAGCGTGCCCACCATGCACCCCAGGTCCACTCAGGAGAAGAGATTATAGAGGAGGCTGGTTTGGAATGGATGGCTGAGTCCCTTCCTGCTCAGAAGCAGGGCGAGAGATGGTGGTGAAACTGCAGGTTTGACCGCCCATCCCGACCCTAGGTCCGTCCTTCTTTCCTGGGAATGACATGCAGTGGAAAGAATGCCGAGCCGCTCACCAGGAAACCTTGGTCACAGCCTGTGTTCTGCCCTAAACCAGCTCTTAACAAACCCCCTAACTTCCCTGGCCCCTCCCCTTCAAAAGAGGGCTAGAAATTCCCATTCAACTGGCTTCACGGGCTTTTGGGAGTTGACGAACGTGGAAGGACTTTCTAGTGTATGAAACACTATATGAATGTGAGGGAATCCTGACTTTGGGGCTTGGAGGGTGGAGGGCGTCCTGCCTGCTCTTCAGACTTGGATGTTGATGGTCAGTTACAATTGGTCCAGGCCACCCCTCCATTATTTAGAAATAGCGATGATAACAGCACTTTAAGCCCTGCCCAGCATCTTGGTAAACACTTTCCAGTGATTCTCTCTTCATCCTCACAGAGATCTCACAGTTACCCTCCATTTCACAGAGAAGAAAACCGAGGCCCAGAGAGGTTAAAGGACTTGCTGGGCCACCTGTAAGTGATGGTGCTGAGTCAAGCCTGCCTGTTCTAAAGTCCACAGTGTCAACCACTGAGCCACCTTAGTGACTCGGCTCCTTTGGCTGGCTGCCAGCTTGTCCACAGTTTGCAGCCATCCAGACATCCACTTTCCTACCTCTCCTAGGGTTGGGGTGCCCCACTGAGTGCCAGGTTCTCTTTGGAGTCAACCTGTGCCTTGTCACCCGAGGAGAGCCCTGCACGTCACGTTTGCTTGTGATGTTCCGAAGCACATGCAGCATCTCTATGGCCTGTCATTCCCATTGAGATTTATCTTGCCGTTTGAAGACCTTCATTTGGTGGGGTGGGGAGGGGCAGGGTACCATTCTCGAAAAGATTACCCAACCTTCACAGGCAACATGGTTCCCTAAGAGTCCCATATCTTCTGCTCTTTTTTAAGATGTTTTTTTCTAATGGTCTGCTATCATTTGTTATCACGAGAAAACGCTTGCCGCAACAAGCACTTACCTGCACATTAGCTGGGTTGAACGCTCTGCTGATCCAGTTAAACAGATAAGATCCCCACCCTCCTAGAAACTACAATTTAATATACTCGAAGGCTTGACAAATGACTAGTATTTATTTTCCAACTGCTTTATCTCTGTACAATGATATGCTGAATTACTATAAGCTAATTGGTGTAGAAAGAACTATTCCCTTAACTTATGTAAACGGTCTGGTTTTTGAAAACAACAGTTGTGGCTCAGCAAGTTCAACACATAGCCTTCCCTGAGACCAAGGAACCCCCCCGCCTGCCCTGTTCACCACTGTATATTCAGCACTGGGCACACTTTCTTTGACTTGTTTTTTAATTTTCCTGTTTTTTGAAAAATTAATACATATACATGGTAAGACACTTAAATAGTACAAAAGTTTGCAGTGACAGGTGAGCTTCCAATGGTGGTTAGCCTTCAGTTCCCCGGACCCCTCTTTAGGGTTAATCACTGTTACCTGTATCTTGTGTATCCTTTCTGGGCAATTCTATGCATTTATAACTTTTAAATATGTATATTTATATATCTATTTTTAATACAAATGGTAGCATTTGATACACAGTGTACTGAAGCTTGCTTTTTTCCACTTATATAATGGCGGTTGTTCCAAATTCATCCAGTGGGTCCGTCTAATTCTTTGAAAGCTCCCAGCACAGTTCCTTTCATACAATAGTGGTTCATAGAGTGTTTGAATGAATGAATGAATGCATGCATGTGTGAATGGAAGACTCCAATTCAGCTGGTAGCTACAAAGTTCTCTCAGGGTCTGATCTGAGCAAGACAGGGTCTTCTGGATTCTAGAACATTCCCCCTGTCTTTTCCAAGGGATCCAGGCCGTTGTTAACCTTCTCCACCAACAGGTGCCACAGCAGCCTTAGGACTGGGCACAGGGAGCCGTGGGCCCCAGTAGGGGAAAGGGCTGGCTAAGACCCAAGTCCCAAGTATGGGCTTCTTTTGAGGTCCTATTTAAAATGCCTTTTCCTTATTGGAAAATGATAGGACATGATTAGAGAAAATAAAAAACATGTACATTTATAATCCCAACTTACCTTTGTAGTTTTCCTTTTTGCACATCACTTTCCAATCCTCATTCAGTTCAAAGCTGAATTAATGGTATAATTGTGTTGATAATGGAAGTTAACATCAGACTTTTCTATATGACGGACATTATTCTCACATTCATTCCCTTATTTAGCCTCATAACAATCCTATGAGATAGATACTACTGTTATTCTTTTGGAGGTTCAGAGTGGTTGAGTAGTTTCCCTAAGGCCACAGAGCTAGGAAGGGGCAGAGGTGGGATTCAGTTGGGTGTGGCGAGCACTACACTGCCTCTGATTTTGCACCCTACTGTTTTCTGCTTAACATTATGTCTGGACATTTTCTATATTTCTCCATATCCTTGAAATCATCATTTTCAATAATTTTCAAATCAACATAATTTACTTACCCATTTCCCATTTCACATTTAAATTTCCCACTCCATCAGTGCAATGAAGAGTGCTGAGCATATAGCTTTTTACTTCTGCAGAATTATTTCTCAGGAGTTTATCCCTATTTTTCTTTCTTTTTTGGTGAGGAAGATTCGCCCCAAGCTAACATCTGTGCCAGTCTTCCTCTATTGTGTATGTGGGACACTGCCACAGCATGGCTTGACAAACCATGTGTAAGTCCACCCCTGGGATCTGAACCCACAAACCCTGGGCTGCCAAAGTGGAGCGTGCAAACCTAATCACTATGCCACCAGGCTGGCCCTGTCCCTATTTTTCTTGACTAAACTCACTGGCAGTGTGACAGAAGGAAGAAAGCCACCAGTGACTAGAAATCAGAAGCCCTAGTCTCCAATCTGGACTCGGTAACTAAGTCATTTGATCTCTCTTGGCCTCAGTTTTCACATCTGTCATTGGGGGAGGCCAGGGTCGGGGGGGGGGGGTGACACTTGGTTTAAATCTGGGGATCTTAAGCCTGGGTAGATTTTATTTTCTCCATCCTGTGTATGTTTATGTCAAAATAGAAGAGACCCTCCCAAAGGCAAGAACCCTTACTGAATTTCTTTCTTTCTTTGTTTTGTTTATTTATTGACTTTTGGCCTAGATATGTACAACAATGGAAAAGATCTCTGTTACTCAGTCCCCTCCCTCCAAGGTAATCTCACTTTTGTTTGCATTTATTTATATTTCCATTTGCATCCTTTGCATTGCATTTACCCTTTTTCAGATAGAGTTCGAGCTCTTCTATGAGGACCTATTTCCTTTGGCTTTTGTCAAGCCTTTCCAAGTTTGAACTCTGTTTACTTGATAATTCCCAAGTGTCTTCAAATCCTTCTGTTTCCCAGGTGCCTTTTCATTAGGGACCTAGGTCCAGACAAATTCTTGAGCTAGTTCCTTGTAGTCATGTGTTGGCCTTTTCAAATGCTCTTGCTTTTTATAATATTTATTATTATTTGCAAATTGAAATAGAGTTTTCAGTGCATGAATACTGAAAAGTCAACAAATGTGCAATTGATCGTATGGAAAATGGGGCAGAAGGATAGGATAAAACCATTTAAGTCAATTCTACCTGGGACAAGCCCCCATCCTAGTGCGTGCTCCAGTGGTGGGGTAGCAGCAGCACCATCTCATTTGACTGGTAGGCACGGTATCATATATGTGTACAGTAGAGAATTAGTCTAAAATCTACCAGATCTTACTTCTAAGACTTAATCTCATTGCCTTTGTCTCTCTTTTCTGTGAAAATGGAGACAGTTGATTATGCCTTTGACGTTTGAAGAGAGTGATGAAGCCAATCTTCGATCTGGCATTCATTAAACTGGGAAGCTGCATTGTTTCTAAGCTTCCCCTCTCAGTTCTAGCCCACGGAACACTGTACAATTCTTATTTTCCTCTGGGGTTTTTTAGTTCTCACAACAGTTTGCTTAGAATTTTGCCCTAAGACTCATTGTGCATGGACGGGGCTGAGTATTTTTGGCACCTGAGGAGGAGAGTAGGTTCTGCTTTCTAAGAAGCTCTTTGCCTAAGAAGGAGGCTTCCCGTTTCTACCCTACACAGGTCCTGAGGAGGGCTCCAATGTGATTTTAAAATGGGGAAAAGGAGAAGACAAGGTGGGCGAGTAGGGAGGTGTTGGTGAGGAAAGGGATGGAAAGTCACAGAGGAGCAGGCAGGAGAGGGTGAACAGGGCAGGAGTTTAGAACGTGGAAACAGCACTCGACTTTTAGGGTGGGCGATGATGGTTAGAAACTAGGAGTGGCTCAGGAGGAGGAAGTGTGGTGGGTGCTAGCAGGGTTGAAAATGGAGGCAGTGGCTTGATTTGTCAGTGGCATCCCTTGGGGGAGCAGTAATTGCAGCAGCTGTTGCCAGGAGGTGTTAACATTTTTAAAAGAAGGAGAAGATGTAGCTGTTGTGGAAAACGAGGGCTGGCTGAGATACAAAAGTTTCCTTAGAAAAAGACTTGAAAGGGGAGGAAGGCGACTGGTTCACCCTGCAAGAAGACCGGGAGAGGCCTGGGCGGGGAGGGACCTTCCCCAGGCCTAGCTGAGGATGTGGAGTCTGTGTCCTGGGTCTGATCAACTAATTGCTGCCCTTTGACCACAGAGTCACCCTCTCATCTAATGATTCCTTTATTCTGGAAAGGGCCTACATGTGTGGCAGAAATTCCTGGCCCCTCCAATCCTGTGTGCAATCAGAGTGGGTGGATTGGGGAGGGCCCCTGGCTGGGGCGGCTCTACCCTTGAGTCCCAAATTCCCCTTCCAATCAAACCAGAATCAGGAGTGGCTTTTTCTTGCCAGTAATCCTTTAATTGGTGTCCAGCACAGCTGCGGCCACGTCTCCAATCCCTGGAGTGCCAGAGCGGCCAGCTCATCCCACAGCAGCAGGACCTGGAATCTCCACCCTCCAGAATCAGGGGTTCAGCCACCCCGAGCTGGGAGCTGCGGGAGCTCTTGGAGGGAGGTCCGACACGCAGGCCAGAGCACTGCAGATTGGCTGGCAGGAAAGTCAGCTTGCAGCAGGAGGCAGTCGGTTCCCCTGGGACGGCAGGACTAGCAGAAATCTAGGGCTTTGTTGAACTCAGGGCTGAAATCTTTAAAATGAATGGAATCAAGAGAAGGAAAAATAGAAAGAGGGAACTGGAGGGGTGGACACGCATTTGCTTAACTTACCACGCTACCAATGACCTCTACTGAGATGGGTCTGGGGAGCTTCGAAGCCTGGAGTGGAAGCCAATGATGCGTTAAGGAAGGTCTCACTGACTTCTGGCCTCAGTTCCTGTGCCATAGCCTGTGGGAAAAGCGGCCTCAGCCTGAGTCCACATAGATGCCAAAAATCCAAAATAAGATCTTGAAAGTCTACCGACCAGAATGAGGTTGACGGTAGTTGTACTTTGCCCTGGAGAGCTCACGTGTGAAGTGTGACGTTCATGGCACGGTAGCTTAAGGTGAACATGGCAAAGAGGACTCGTTCAGAGGGGACCTCCAGCATGGTGTGGGGTTCTCAGTGCCATTTCACTCAAGGAGCTATTGAAGGATCCTGATGTTTTGTCAAGAAAAGAGATGTTCCACCATCACTATTTTCACACCTTTGCAGGGTTGTCACATCAAATAGGAGTCTAGACTTCCTCTGTGTGGCCTCAGAGGGCAGATCAGAATTAGACTCAATAAAAGGAAAATCCTCCTGGAAATGAAAGGGCTCCCTGGAGGAGCGCATAAATTCCCAGTCCCTGGAAATGTCCATGCACAGGCTGGGGGGACCCCAGACAGGAGTGTCCTAGACAGCCCCGAGGCCTCGCAGTGGCAGGACGAGGCTAGAGGTGGAGCAGGTACTACATGATGGCCAAGGCTCCTTCCTGCCAACGCTGAGTGGTCCCTGCCCCCTGTTTCCTCCCCTCCATGCAGCTGGGGCCACTTGTTCTTCCACTCAGACTTCTCCCTGCTCCAGGCCAGGGGACCGACTTTGGCCCCGAGGAGCTCCATGATAACGCCTAGGGACTGGCCTCAGGCATCTCTGGTTGGGAGGGCCTTGCTCTCACCTCTGCTTCAGCTGCTTCTGCCTTGTTGGGGAGGCTGAAGTTGGCGCTCTATAACCCGCCTCTAGTAACCCATTACTGCTCCATAATGTAACCAGTTTCCTTTGAGCTCTTTTGAGAAGTGAAGGTAGCGAAGGGAAGTGAAAGATGGGGTAAACATTTCAGGGAAAAGCAAACATTTGATCATCCTCATAGGATGTGAGGCAGGGCCCGGGGCGCGGCGGGGGAGGACAAGGAGAGCTGATGGAGCAGACGTTTGAGGGCCTTGGGAGGGAGCAACATACATTTTGAAGCAGAGGTTAGCGTGACTCAGGGATGATATAGCTAGCCCATCCTCCTTCAAAGTTGAAGTTCTTGCCTGACGGTTTCACTTTTCCTTGCATTTTGAAGGTACAGCTGACTACTGCCAGTGAGGAAGGCAAAGGAGAGGTTGGAACCTTGTTTGGAACAGTTGCTGTAGGGAAAGGAAAAGGTCAGCTTGGGGGAGCATAAAAGGATTGCCAAGCTGCCCGAGATTGGACTCAGGCTGGAAACCAGAAATGTTGGCCAGCCTTGGGGCAAGAAGCCCCTGTTAGGAACCAGATTCCAGGTTAGGAACCAACAAGGCAAACGTAGTAGAGGTCAAGGGGCAAGTGAAACGAGACCCCTGAGGAAAGCGTAGCTGTAGGTGAAGTTATTGTCCACTCTACTGTGTCTGTGTGTAGATAGGATGGGATGGGGGTGGATAAAGAAGCCAGGGAGGAACTCTTGGGTGGATGATTCAGGGGGGAATTGGAGTCTGGAATTGCCCTAAAGCTGAGGGCAGCTGTGGTAGGTGGAAGGATAACAGGATGGCATTTTAGAGATGGAGAAATGCCTCTGACAAGTTTCAAGCAGTGGGCATTTGACTGGGTGGTTAAAGGGAAGTGGGGGTGAAGGTCTTTGAGAGGATGAGGTCAGTGGACCTGCTGCCAGGGTGTTGGTTGAGCTATTAGCCTAGAATGATGGCAGGGGACCAGAGCCTGGTGCACAGTGGCACTCAATGTGAGGTGGCCTGAACTCAGTAAGTCCAGGTGGAAGATGGTGAGGAACATGGAACGGTGTCCTGATAGCCAATAAATATTGGATAATGTATGACCTTGGCTAGTGCTTCAGAGGATGGTGGATCGTTCCCTTTGAATTTTGTTAGCATTGGAAGACAGAGAGCTGAGTAGGAAAGGAAAGACATGGAGCTAAGTCAAAATAAAAGGCATGTTCACACTCACCCAGACCTTGAGGAGAGGGGCTGACATAGTTGGTCATACTGTCCTGGGAGACCCTGCTAGATTCTGGCAGGGAGTAGCTTCCTTTGTCACCCTGAGCTAAGTATGTTAATTAACAATAGCCCACGATATTCCTACCACGAGCACCCAGTTTACTCTGGGGGCCCAAGAAATTCAAAGCAGCTGGGAGAGGGGATCCTGGCACCAGTAACAAATGCCTACAGTGCTTTGTCAGTGCTCATATTTAATAGCAAATACTGGCTGCTTTGTATTACGGTTACTTCCAACACAGAAAGCCAGCATCTGCTCTTTCAGCACCATGAGCAAGCCTCTCTCAGAGGATTTAATTCTGTTGTAATTCTCATTCTTTCAGGCGGGAGAGATTCTCAAGGGTAGACACTGTAACTTGTTCAGTTCTGTACCCTCAGCACCTGGCATAATGCCCAGGGTGTAGTAGTTAGTAGTTACTCGATAAATACTTGCTTTTGAGGAAGATTAGCCCTGAGCTAACATCCGCCACCAATCCTCCTCGTTTTGCTGAGGAAGATTGTCCCTGAGCTAATATCTGTGCCCATCTTCCTCTGTTTTGTATGTGGAACGCCTGCCAGGGCATGGCTTGATGAGCAATGCATAGGTCTGCTCCTGGGATCCAAACCGGTAAACCCTGGGCCGCCGAAGCGGAGCGTGTGAACTTAACCTCTATGCCACCAGGCAGCCCCTGGAAGAGCGGAGTTAGGACCCGAGTCCCCACACTCCTAGCCAATACTCGTTAGATACTGCCTCACATGTCCTCTCTCTCCTGGTAGTCTGTAAGCTCAGAGAGGAAAGAGATGGTACCTCTTTGACCTCTCCATCCTGGAGTGCCTTGACACTCCTGACTCAGCTCTGCTGCTATCATCATGAAAATCTGCTTGTTAAATTGGCAAATAGCAAGAAGCTGGGAAGGATAGATTATACACTGAGTGCGTGACAGGAGCAGAATTCAAAAAGATTTAGACAAGAAGGAAAGGGAGTGTGAGACTAAGAAGATGAGATTTAACTGAAAAAAAAAAGGTAGAAGTTTGCACTTAGGATAAAAAAGGCTTTACAAGTAGAAGTGGGAAAGACTTAGATGAACAGTGGTTCGTGTTGGAAACTCACAGGCTCAGGATCAATGAAATAATTGGGCTGCCAAAAAAGTTGCTGCTCATGTGTGGAGCCCAGACCCAGAGAGATGCTAATTCAGTTGTAGGCTGCTCTGGTTTGACCTCTGTTGGGGGGGTGGGGGTGGGGGTCACATTTTCAAAAGGAAATTGATAAACTGGAGAGTCACTAGAGTAACTGGTGGTGCCATATCCGTTGTCATATGAGAAATGGCCTAAAAGGGAAGCCGAGGTTCCTCAGTGTACTAGGCGAGGCCTTCAGGATCTGGTCCCTGCCTAGTTCTCGTCTCCTCTTTCTACTTGCCCATCTCCTTTACACTTGAGTGACGTGTATACCAGGCTGTTGCATACCTCCACGTCTTCATGCATACAGTTCCCTCCATCTGGAATATTCTGTCCACCCTGTCCACAACAGTCTACTTGGTGAGCACCTATGTAATTTTCAAAATCCTTCTCAGCCTCACTTCTCTGTAAAGCTGTCCTAACCAAGTCCCCAGGGAGAACTGACCACTCTCTCCTCTATACTTTTGTGCTTCCCTATACACAGTTTTATATCTGTGCATTCACCCTGCATTGTATTTTGCTTATATGCCTGTCTCCCGTATCAGACTCTAAGCTTCTTGAAGGCACAGATGCTGTGACCTCTGCCTCTAGCACATGTGCTCTAGCCCGAAACGTGGAAGTTCACATGATTTAAACCAAATGAACCAAACTTCAAGCAGGCTTTCCAATATTTGAAGGACTGTCCTGTTGATGACTGGAGAGATTTTAATGTGTGCACTTCCAGAGAGCCAGGAACAAGGATGAATGGGGCATGTGGTCAGGAGACAGATTTGGGCCCACTAGCAGAAAACACTTTAGTATTGGTCAGCACTCTCAGATTCCACCAACAGAAACCTCATTTGAGGCAGCTTGAGCAAAGGGAGAACTTTTTTGGTATACAAAGTCCAAGAAATGGTTGAACTGCCAACCAGCAGGAAGGCCAGGGACAAAGCTGGATGTCAGGAACACCTGCAACCGGGCACCTGAAAGCCATCAGGACTCTGTGCCCCTTGCCTCTGCTTCTTTGTGTGTCAGCTTCCTTCTTCCTCACTGCAGCCTGGCCTCCTCTGCACGGCAGGAACCATGGCTGCTGAAAGCTTGGACCTCATAGCTCACAGCTTTGCACCACCAGGGACTGGTTTTCTTTCCCAACTCCCATGAAAAACATTTTGGTGAAGAACTTTGATTGGCACAACTCGGGTCTGATGCCTACCGCTGTGGTTAGGGACATGGGTACTGGCAATAACCTGGCTTGAGTCAGATGCCAGCCAACTGAGGCCCAGGGCGGGATCATGTAGGAAAAAGACAGTTGCCATTGGACCCACACAGTGAGAGCAGGGGAAGATCTATTTCCAAAAGGAGTGGGGATGTGGGTGCATCTTCCAGAACAGAGGGTTTGTACTCCTTTGCTCCAGCTTTCTAATGATTACAGCCATCCAGCGCCAAGCACTTTCTGGATGCTCTCAGGGATCCAGGAGAAGAAAGGATGGATAAACAGACTGTGGTCACTCCCAATATTTAGAACCAGGTTCACCCGGTGCTTAGAACCTTGCTCTCAGAAATTGCTGAATGACTGAATTGTTTTTCTGGGCATTAGGGCTCAGCCCACTTCCCCCTCAGGTGCTGGGAAATGGAGGCTGAAGGGGTGGAGAAGGAGGTTCAATTATTCTAGAAGTTTCATTGAGCCCATAATCTATATAGGTTCGATAATGGAGGGGAACACAAGACACATATCCAGAGGCGTTCTGGCCTCCTAGGGACTGAAGTCACTAATGGAGGCGTGTGGGTTTGCCTAAGTGCTGGACCAGCAGCCCCCGGCAAGGCGAGGGCCAGTCAGCCTGTCGCACCGGACCTAGCCCCAGCTCCAAGCAGCTTTGTCCCCCTCGGGGCTTCGCCTCGCCGCTCCGCGCCTCTCCTTGGGGACTTCGGCGTCTGCAGGGCGGATGGGAGCAGGGAGGGAGGGCTGGCGGGAAGCTGGGGTCCCGGGCCTCCATGAAGGTGCGCCTGCTCGCCCTCCTTGCTCAGCGGCCTCCCCGGCCCGACGCGGGGCAGCTCCGGGCGCAGGGGGCGCCGCGCCCCGGCGGGCCGTCGGTCGGCGAGGGCAGGGGCGGCCAGCCCCGGGGGCGGCCCCTGGGCAGGGCTGGCGAGGCCCCGCTGCCCGGCGCCCCCCGGCGCCCGGGAGGCCGCGCCGGCCGGGCCGGGCCGGGCCGGGGGAGGGACAGCAGCAGGTGACGCCGGCCGGCCGCGGGGCTATAAATAGGGGCGCGCGTCCGCGGGGAGCGGCGGCCGGAGCGCGGGCAGGGGCCGGCGGCAGCATGGGGTCGCGGAGGGCGCCTGGCGCGGGCGGGAGGGCCGGGGCGGGGGGTGACGGCGAGGACGACGGGCCAGTGTGGACCCCCAGCCCGGCCAGCCGCAGCTACCTGCTCAGCCTGCGGCCCGCCATCAGGTGAGTCGCGCGCGCGGGGGGCCGGGCCGGGCCGGGCGGTGCGCCGGGCAGGCCCTCGGGTGGGTCCCTGGGATGGAGCCCTCTGATGGGGCCCTCGGATGGGGCTCTCCCATGGGGCCCTCGGTTGGGGCCCGGTGCGCCAGCCCGAGGCACCGCCTGGCCTCTGGAGGCCCGAAGCCTGGGGACATGGCCAGGACGGAATGGACCCCTCGGCTCCTCCTGACCTCTCGTGGCCCGTGGGCCTCGGGCCTTTGGCAATGCGAGGCTCCTCGGAGGAGAAAGGCCCTACTCTGGGGTGATATCCCAGGGCCCGAAGGCTTTCCTTATCTCCCCCACCTCACTCCCCCGCCACCAGCACCCTCACCCCGGACTCAGCTACTCCCTGGCCTCGGATTCCACAGTCGGTGATAAGGAAAGCCAGAGTGGCTGAAATTCCTCCCCGGCTGGACGGGAGCAGAGGAGCATGGGAGGGGGTGAGGGAATAGGGGGAGCTGCTGGGGAGACCACCCTGAGTGGGGCCTGCTTAGCTGGGTGGGGTGGGGGGGGTGCGCTGCTGAGGGAAGGGGGAGAATTCACCAGGAAGAAATAAATTTAGCAGATACTTTCGTCTTCCGCAGGATCTGGGTGGGGGCTGGTGAGGTGGAGGGGCGGGATGAGGTGCTGGTTGGCCCTGTCTGAAGATTCAGAGCTGTGGTTCTGAGGGAACCAACTGCCCTGCCCAGTGTGGAGGATGCCAAGGGAGGGGTCACACTGGTGAGCCCTTTACTCATCTTCCAAGAGCTGTGTGTGGATGCTTTGTTTTAGGAGCTGGGCTATCCACAGATATAAGGACACACAGGTAGACAATAGAGAAGCATACCAGCACTCAAAGACACTCAGGGACACGGGCACAGCCGTGGAGACGGACGCTTCCTGCACTCTCTGGGCAGCTCAGTTTCCCTCCCACTGGCGAGCCTATTTTCCAAAGGGGATTGTGATGGTTGGCTCTGGGGATAGTGGTTGTGTCACAGCCCCAGAACTTGGCTTGTTGGTTCTGCAGAAAACAGCCACTGCTCTGAGAAGCTGCCCGGAGACTTCTTGTCCTCCGTTCCTAAAACGGCACAAAAACAGGCATCAAGGACGTTCAGGAAAAGTCCCAGGCACTTCCTCGTGGATTGGCTGAGTTCTGTTGACCTTGGAGTTGGAAAAGTTCAAATGTAACCGGAACCGGTTTCTGCATAAAACTCGTCAAACGGTGTCACATGTCTGGGGCAGGGCGGAGGGCTGGTGTTAGTGACTGAGTCAGACTCAACAAGGCCCCTGGCTGCCAGGAAAGAATGCCCCTTCCTCCTAACCACTGGCTCTACAGAAAAACTGGAACGAAATTTGGACATTTATTCTAGTCCATGGTGAAGCCGTCTTGTAGGTACCTCACACTGGTCTCACACTTGTCACAGTGACTTGTCCGAGCTTTTGCTTCCCCTGTCTGGCCTTTGTCAATACCAGCAGAATACATAGAAGAGGGAATCAGGGCCCGTCTTGGAGACAGTAGTGATGGAGGGAGGGAAGGAGGGGTGGCTTGAAAACCAGGCAGAATGGCGAGGGCAGGGGATCTGGGCTGTTAGGAAAAAGGCTGGAGGGTGGACATGCGTGGCTAAGCAGTTGTGTGGTGGGTAAATTTTAATTGCACGTCTGATGAGCACAAAGCAGCATGCTAGCCCGAGAACTGCAGGTGGGAGAGAAGTGGCTGGCTTAAGTCTCCTTGGACCTAAATGGGAATGCTCTTAAAATGAGACTTGTCATCAAGTGTTTGGAGGGGGCCGGGCTGGGTCAGTGGGAGAAAGGGTTTTCTAGCCCAGGACTGTGCTGTGTTTTGCCTGTGCTAGCAGCCCCAGATCCCCACAGGTCCTGAGGGCCAAGATGGGCCAGATTTCTCTCACCTCTTGAAAAACCTCTGGCCGAAGTGGGGAGAATGTGAATGGGGCTGTTTTGGAGGGTGGGGCAGTTCCCAGGTCTCAAGCAGAGCCTGACTGTCGTGTTGGAGCAGACAACCTTACAGTCTTCTGTCCATCAGAGCGGCCTGGCTGCCTGTGGGTATGGGAAGAGAGCCTAGGAGATGAAGGAGAAAGAGGGCCTCTTGAGGACTTTGCCAGCTGTTCCTGGCTCCAGCCCCGATGAGCACTGTCTATCCCAGCGTCCTCACTGAGAGGCGAGTTCTGTTCCACCCACTCTTGGCTCCAACATTTTCTGGGTCTACTTCTATACAAATCTATCATGGAGCTTTTAGGCATTGTTCTCATGGGCCCTTGTGAGGATGGGCTGCCCCTGGGAGCTGATGAACAGCTGGGCTAGGGGCCGGGCCACCAGAAGCCTTGGCCCAGGTCCAGAACCTGTCTCTGTGTTCATACCTCCCTTCCCCCACCCCACAGCCCTGGAGGAGTTTCCAGATCATATTCAGCTCAAGGATATTTCTAAAGCCCATTGGGGTCAGAGGTCCAAAATGCAATAGTCCCACCAAACTGTAGGCCCAGGCTCCTAGGGCATCCAGCCTCTAGGACCTCACCCCTATAGGAAGGTGGGGCATGGGAAGGCTAGAGTAGGCTGAGGAACCACAGTTGGGGGGATGCAGTAATAGCTGCCTATTCTGAGGGACGCTCAGAAGTTCCAGAAGTCCCTGCCTGCTCCTTTCTTGGAGGCCCTGGTCCGAGTGGGCTCAGAGGAGCAGCAGGACCTGTGATGTTGGCTGCAGACAGCTTCTGACACCTCTTCTCTTCTGCTTGGGTCAGCTGGGTTGCCTAGGGCTTTCAGGGAAACTGAAGCATCAGGCCAGGACTTTCCAAAGAACTTTTATGCCCCAGGATATATGAAAGCCATGAAAAATGGGAAAGCCCAGCTTTCATGGCCAATCCTGGGTCCCCCCAGGCCCACTTTTCTCCTTTATGAAGAGACCTTTCCTTCCTGGGCTGTGAATTCCCATTCTGTAAAATGAAGGTGGCATTAAGAACTCCTTTAGACCTTTCTGCCCTGACATTGGATTCCGCTGGCTCTGACCCCCTCAGAGTTGGTAACTGGGGAATGCTCTGCCCGGGGAGATCCTTGAGCCCAGCTCTGGTCCAGGCGGATCTTCCACCTTCTGAAGACAAGGTGCCTCCATCAGCCAGGAGTCCTCCTGACCTGGCCAGCAGTGTAAGGGTGAGGCCAATGGGGCAAAGGAGCAGAGCATCACAACCAGCCCTAGAGAGAGCCAGGGAGGGGTCACTATCCCAGCTCAGTCCCTTGTCCACTTGTAGAGCCTGTGGAACATGTCATTTTCCTCTCTGAGGTAGAGAGCTGATTCTCTCCCTCTCCTTCCCAGGGAAGAAATCCAGAGTCAACAAAGAGAAATCTCTCAATTCCAAGGAGAAAGACAAAGGAAGTTCATGGTCAGGAAAGGATGGAGTTGGCCAGTGGCTTGGAACCATGGGAGGTTCCGCCCACGCAGCCTCCAGAGGATTTTTAAAGCTCTGAGCAAAGGCAGCTGCATTTTTGCTCCCTTCCTACCATCTTTTCTGGAGCAGCAGCTCCCTCTGGGGAGCAGGACCTTGCCTGTTTGAAAGATCCACTTCCTTCCCTCCCTCCTCTTCCCTTTTCTCTCTCTTCCTTCCATAAAGCAGCTGTAGAATACCCACTGAATGCCTGGCACTGGGCTAGGAGCTCAGAAGCTACAAAAAGAGCCAGGTTTGGAGGCTGGGTGGGCAGAAGGAAAGAGGGAGTGCTTCCCAAGCAAGGAGGACAAAAGTGAAGGCTCAGAGGCCAGGAATGGACATGTCCATGACAACTAGGGACAGGTCTGGTGACAGTGGAACCTGAGTATTGAGAAGTAGAGAACCTTGGCTGTAGTGGGGTGTGAGTAGATGAGGGAGGGCCTTAAGTGCCCAGTCAAGGAGTTGAGACTCAACAATATACGGTGGGGGGACACCAGCATTTTTTTCAGGGCGGCGGTGTGATGTGACGGCTGAAGGAGAAGGGGGTTGAGGTGGTCATCAAATATGGAGCCATGAGGGTCTAGATCAGAACACAATAGCAGGAGTAGAGAGAAAGGGAGAAAGAAGGGCCAAGTTGTTTTTGCAGGTTGGGGGTTGGAGGAGAAGGAAGAGTCCAAAATGGCAGACTTACAGCTTTGGAGTTTGGGATCGTGCTGGTGGTAGCCACAAACCCAGGAGCACTGGAGCAGAAGCCATGTGTTTGGATAGAGGATGAGTTTGGTTTTCTGGTTATAAAGAGACAGGCTGTCAGTGGAGCTTGCTTGTGGATAGAGAGGTAGACCACAAGTGCCGTTGAGCAAGCTGGGCTGCTGATAACGAAGGGAGAGTTATTCTCTTGGTGGGAACAGCTGAAGAGACTGAGTGTGGGTGCGGTGGCCCCTGAGGTCTCCCAAATTGCTGTGGGAGATAGTGGCCCTAGATGCCACTGGAGGTATTTCTATTAGGAAAGGTGGAGGCAGAGGAAACAGTTGGCTCATATCAGCTGGGCTGCATCTCCCCTAAGGGGCAGACCTGTGTGGGTCCTCAGCCCCCAGTGGCCTCCGCAGCCCCTAGCTAGTGTCCACTTTCAGCTGCCCTGGGCAGGAGGGAGGGTCAGGGCCTCCAGGCATAACAGGGCGGGTGCTGGTCTGACCCAGCTGGGTGCCTCCTGGCTCCTGCTGAATTAACTGCTTTGTCTTTCTCCTCTTCTTCACTCTCCTAGCTGGTTTGCCTTGCGTGGCCTCTTTAACCATATTTTAACATATTAATGGGCGTTCTTCAAGCCACCTGTCTCCTTCTCAGCCTGTTAGGAGATTTCCAGGAATGGGGGGCACTTCTCCCCCAAAAGGCCAAGGGTCGAAGCAGGAACTGCCCCCAGGCCGATGTGTCACAGGCCAGGGGAAACATGCCCAGCAGCTGTGAGCCCCGCTCTTGGGGTCAGTAACCCAAGTGCCTGGGACACACCTTTCTCAAAGTACAGCCCCGAGGGGCCTCCTTTCTGCCTAACCATTTCCCTGGATTCTGCTGCCTTTAACGAGCTCTTGGTTTCAGATGAACTGGTGTCCGGTGGTGAGGCCACTTGCTAACTGGAGCAGGCCAACTAAGACAGCTGGTCCCTTTTAATAGAAAGGCCTCTGGGCCCCAAATGGGGGCCGATTAATACTTTGCAGACTGTTGTTGATTTCGCCTCCTCCTCTCCTTGCTTTTTTGGCCTAATGATTCCATTTGCTGTTTTTGCTTAGCTTATCAAGCAACCGGTTGCCTCACCCCAGCTCTGGAAGGTAAACGCACATTGCATTACATTTCTCTGACTGCTTTTTTCTTGGGTCTGGGCGTCGAGGGGCCTCTGGGTGACTGCTTGTGCACTAACCAGGCTGCATGGGGTGAGGGGAGGGCTGGAGGGTGGGTGGGGGAGGATGTGAGAGGGGACTCACGTCAGCATGGGTCTCACAGGGCCAAGAGTTGATGCTTGCATGGACTATTTGAAAGGGGTTCAGGGACCCAGAAATAGGCAAGGGTTCCCGACATGCCTGCACCTATATCTCTGTGCCCCTGGGAGAGGCACCACGGGACCAAAACAGGGATCCACCGGTCATGTGACTCACTTCCCCATCCTAGATGCTGATGGTTTTGTAACCACATATCTAGGTTTGGCACCTTGCTGTCTGTCTTCCAATCATGGCTACTGCCTTAACGCTTACTTTTCTCTGGTCCCTTAAGTTCTCTTCCTACCACCTCTTTCTCTGAATTCCTTTTCCTTTGGCTCCTCTCCACCCCTGCGGACTGTGAGCTCTGTGAAGTCAGGCAACAGCATGTCAGGGTGTCCCTACAGAGCAGCCTGTTCTCTAAATCTGCCTCAGAGCCAGGGCAGGGCCTGAGCAAGCCTGTGGTCGAGGGTTGCCCCTTGAATGACTGTCCTCTTGCCTCCAGAGCAGGGGACAGCTCTCCACCCCTGGCTGAACTGACTGTTATGATCAAAGTGGGAACATCTCCTGGCCGCCTCCCACCGCTTGGGCCTCATCCCAGACTCTGGTGGATTTGGGGAGAATCCACTACAGTTCGTTTTCAGAGAGAAAGATTTCTGAGTAGCGAACTGGGCTCTGAGTAGCTGTCATTCCCGTAGACGTGACCAGCACCTACCATGTGCGTTTCCTTTGATAGGGAGACTACTGAAGAGCCCTTGTTCTGGGGGACTCAGGTCCGAAGGGGTGGAAGAGGGGGTGTCACAGCTAATTCAAAGTGGGGTGTGGGGAGTGCTGAAAGAGAAAGGGCCTTGGAAGTTTATTTTAAGCAAGGTAAATGCCCAAACCCAAGGGCACGGTTAGGTTCCTTTGAACATCATGAAAACCAGCGATTCTGCTGTTCTTTAGAGACACACAGTTAGGCTGCGATGTCCTTATGAAGTCACAGAGCTGGAAGGAATTGGAGGTGTCAGGGTGGGACCAGACCATTTCTGGTGTGTGGACCTCCTGGGTTTCCAGGGAATTGGAGGCAGCACCCCCAGGGTCCATCCTACATCCGAGTGGTTTGGAGGATGGGGACAGAAAGCAGGTGACATTCAGTGGGACATGACAGTATCTGTAGTGACTCCCCCCAAGTGCATCCCAGACCCGCTCCCCTAGAGGGATTTCGTCTAGTTCTGCCCTTCAGCAGTTCCTTATGATTTCCCAGTGTGAACATTTTTTATAATACAATTTAGGACCTAGTGTGGAAAGTTTGAGAAGATGTGTTCTTTCCCATTCAAAAAAATTAATGCAATAAAATAACTGCCTGTTGTTGACTATCTAGACTGAGCACTTGTCTCTGCAAATTTTCTTGAGGCGTAATTTCCCTTTCTCATTTATCCAGTAGCTGAAATTTTTCTTAGACTTGCCAAAGCAGGTTCATCCCTGCTGATACGTCTCTTTCCTAGAGAAAGAGCCTGAGGTGAATATTAGGTCCAGGTTCATGTTCATGAGTAAGGTAGGATTCAAATTATGTAGGGAGGACATAATTAGAGATGTTCTGAATTAGTTACAAAATCACACAAGTCTGATTATTTTTGGTGTGGCAGTTTCCTCTAAAAACTGTTGGTTAGGATTCAGCAGCCCCCAAACTCAGAAATTGCTGTTAGTAGGAGAGTAGAAAGAAATGTTGTCAGATGTTATATTTCCTGAGTGTCAGGGAGTTGATAGTCCAGGTTCTGAAAGACCCTCTATTTCTGGGTGGATCAAGAGAGAAAGGAAAAGATGCTTATTAGACAGATGAGTTCGAGGTGAGAGTGTTACCGGGCAAGTTATGGAAGTCTGACTGCAGATCCAGTTCAAGTATTCATGCATGTGGGAGGTTGGGATCCCCTTTCTGGGTAGTCTTTCATGGGGAGGACTCCTGTCAGCCCCCCCAAAGACCCAGGCATCTGTATTCCAATGGAGAAACCACAACTGGGTCCGTATCAGCCCAGAAGTCCTGGGATACAAGCTTTCTCCTCAAATTCATGTCCAGAATGATAGCCACAGAAATGATAAATTGACTGTGGAAGCACCCCCCTGCACCAAAGCTTAGAGTTGTAGCTCCTGTTTGCTTGTGTTCCCACGGACTCCCACCTCGCCCCTCGTGGAGAGGTCATGGGCAGACACACCTTGCCCAGAGGGGGCCATCCCCTCCTCCGAGGCACAGAGAAAGGCAGGTTTGAATGACTAGTCTTCTCACCACAGTTCCTCCTGCTTCTCTTCACCTGACCCCTCACGGTTCTCCCTGCTGCTCACAATAGGGTGTGTGAGTTGTGAGGGGGAGGAGGGCTGGGCACAGCTTGTGCACCACACAACCTAGCTGTGTGGTTATGCTTCACGCGTGGGGATGCACCATGACTGCTGGCCCGTGAAAGGGTTTGGCATGATGGTTTGCTTCCTGTGCGCAGGAAGGAGAGGACTGTAAATACTGAGAAGTATTGATGATCCTGTGTTGGACTCAGTGAGCCCACAGATGCCCCTGAATTCTGGAAGATGGACTGTCAAAAGGGAACTAAAGGTCCTCGCTTTGCAGGGGTGAATCTGTTTGTGGTTTGGCAGCTCTGCTTGTTGGTCCTGGAGCTGCCAGCCATGTATTCACTCGAGCATGTGGTGTCCACGGACGGAGCAGGGGAGCCATGGCTGGCTTGCCACTGCAGATCGATGGCCCTGTTTAGGATCAGAATTCATTTGAGTCTCTCTTTTCTGATACCCCCAAGAATTAAAGTCCACCTTTGGATCTAGACCCCTGGCATTGGCCAGCTTCTTTTTTTCTACTATGGGTCTGCACTCACAAAGGTGGGAGCTTTTCTGCTGAGCCCAAGCTTTGGGAGAGACCCCTGAGCTCCTAGGACCTATGTACCCTTGGGGGTTGGCTGGCTTTTCCCTCTTTGGCATGAATGGAGGCTCTGCTGTGCCTCTCCATCTCTGAGGCTGGGCCTATCCATGCGTGTGTCTCCCCCATGCACGAGCTTCCCTGGAGATGACAGGTGGAGGGTGAAGCAAGGCCTCCCATAAGGATGGGATGGGAACGCCAGGGCTGGTGGTCTGGCATGCTCAGGAGCCTGGCCTGTGTCAGAAGACTGCCTATTGTAATGGGTCTGGGTCAGGATTCCATTCAGCCCTTTGGTACCATCCTTACCCCTAACCTGGCCAAGAAGCCTCGGCTCCCTTGAAGAGACTTGCCCAGGTTTAGAGCCATGGCCATGGGATGACAGATGGACATGGTAAGATTTAAGCTGCCTTGGACAATGCCAGGCTGTGGTATATTGGGGGGGAAGGCTGCTCTGAATAGTTCTTTGCCTTTCCTAGGAGCACCTTCTGCTCCATCATTGCTCAGCTAACAGAGGAGACCCAGCCGCTATTTGAGACAACGCTCAAGTCCCGGGCTGTGTCCGAGGACAGCGACGTCAGGTTCACCTGCATCGTCACAGGTAATGAGGCCATCTGTATGATCCACACCAGGGCCACTGCACAGAGCAGGGTCCAAGGGGGCTGTGGGGACAGGCATGGAGGGGGTTTGGCTGTGTGCACAAAACTGCAAGGTGGCTTTTGTTTCTTAGCTTTCTCTCCAGTTTAATCTCCCTGTGTGGGCTGGGGTCCCTTACTCCTCCCATTCTGGAGCCACACATACTCCAGCTCTTCTTCAAAACCTGTCTTTAGTAAAGGTTCCTCACCCTCAGGCATACATACATAACTGATGAATCTTAGTTCTGAGGAAAGAAGCTCTCCAGTTGAAAGAGGTTTTCAAGACCATCTCCCCAAATATCCCCATCTTACAGTTGAGTAGTTTGAGGCTTGGGAGTCTCACGCCTGAGAGACAGTGATGTAGAGGCATTCTGACTGCAGACCCTGGAAACAGACTGCCTGGCTTGGGATGCTGGTTCATCCCTTTCCAATTGTGTGATACCAAGTAGGTTACAACCTCTCAGTGCCTCATCTGGGAAGTGGGGATGATGATAGAATGAACTTCATAGGCTTATTATGAGACTGAATGCATTAATACCTGCAAAGCATTTGGAAGAATACCTGGGATACAGTAAGTACCATATAAGTGTTAGAAATTAAGACCATTATTATTTGCATTTCACTGAGCTCCATGGTAGAGTTTGAAGCAACAGGTCAGCAGAATAGGAAGCAGAGTGATACTCCTTGGAAAAGGAGGATGAAGGGGTCAGAGTACTGGGAAGCTGGCGTCGGGCATTGCCCCTCCCTCAAACCTCCCAGCAGTCTCCCATTGCACCAACCTGACCTGCTTGGGGCCTGCAGAACTCACCGATGGGTGCCTGCCCCTCCAAGCTGTGCAGCTACTAGTTGAAGGGTCCCAGGTCAAGGTTTCCTCTGAGAACCCATTTTTCAGTAAATCAAGGGCATTGGTTTTTTCCAGCTGTGACATGCCCTGAATCCTGGGGACTTGTCTGTCCTAGCCAGCTAAACAGCTTCTCTAGGATTGGGTTCCCCTGGGCAGCTCTCACCCTTACCCAGAACCCTCTGAGCTCCAGGCTGAGAACACCGTCTGTTCCAAGAGATGCACCTGCATCTCTTACCTTTGTACAGCCGTAACATGTTTTGCCACATTCATTGGTTTCCATTGTCATTGAATTGTTGCAAAACCCTGTGAAGTAAGCTCTATTATTAGTCAAATTTTACAGAGAAGGAAACAGACTAGGTTAGGTGACGGGCCACTGTCCGCAGAGCTGGTGGGGAGGAGATGCTTCTGCTGCTCGCTTGTGCCTGTGTCTCCTGTCACCGTGGCACTAACAGTTTTCTAGAAAAACTCGGCTCTTTCACAACAGCTCCATCCTTTTGCATATGCTGTTGTCCCTATATAGAAAGTCCTTGATCCTTCTTTTTAAAGAAAATTAATTTTTATTTTATCAAATTAATGCATGTACATAATTGAAGACTTCAAATTATACTATGAGGCATGTATCAAAATGCAACAGTTCATCCCTCCCACCAATTTGTCTTCCCAGAAGCAACTGTTTTCAGCTTTTAGGTGTTTCTTCAGGTGTGTCTACATTTCCGTAATTCTGAGTAACGTGTGAATACTGCTAACTTTTTTTTTTTTACAAATTTATTTATTTATTTATTTTGAGGAAGATTAGCCCTGAGCTAACTACTCCAATCCTCCTCTTTTTGCTGAGGAAGACTGGCCCTGAGCTAACATCCATGCCCATCTTCCTCCACTTTATATGTGGGACACCTACCACAGCATGGGTTTTGCCAATCGGTGCCATGTCCGCACCTGGGATCCGAACCGGCGAACCCTGGGCCGCTGAGAAGCAGAACGTGCGCACTTAACCACTGTACCACTGGGCCGGCCCCTACTGCTAACTTTTGAGTCTTCGGGTTTAGATGCTGTCTAGGCCTCTGGTTAGGGTAGATAAGGAATTAGCTCTCTTTATCATCGTTTTTCTCTGCTTCTCACTTATCTTCTCAACATAATTATATCACAATTTTTGCTTAAATCAATATTTACTGTTTACCTTATTATGCCTATGCAGTATGATTCATTACTGAACATTGTGGTATATAATGATTATATTTCTATCTTCTGTTTTTCCCAAAGTTAGCAGTTTCTTTAATTTTTCATTTAGTTTTTTGATATCTATTGCTAATTTTTCTTATACCTTCTAATAGCCTCTTACTACAATTTTCTACAATGCCATCAGATCTGTTACTTTCCTTGGAGACATCCCTTTTGGAAATCTCTGTTCTTTGATCTGATCTGGTGGCCTTTTACCTGATACACAGCTGCTCTCCTGGGTCTTCCCGTTGCCTTTCTCTTGGGTTTGATTCAGTTTCCTGGATCTCATGTCTTCTTTTTTCTTGGTTTACTCTCTGGCTTTATTGAGCTATATCCTCCAGTATTTTCGTCAAGCCCTAAGGGTGGTACAGAAGCAGGAGGCATTGTGATGACAAGCTCTCAATCTGTTTCTCCTTTGAGTCATTCTGCTCCAAGGTGATTTCGTTGCGCTCTGTGTCTGGCACGTGGTCGACATCCTAGGATCTCCCTTCACCATCATGCTGTAGATAGCCCTTACCTATCTCCTGTGATGGATTTCCTGTTTTTCGTATTCCACATTTTTCTCTTTCTTGATTTACATTTTTGTTTTGGTGACTCCCTAGGAAGAGTACGTGGGAAGTAAGCATTAGACAACTTGTGTCTGAAAGTGTCTTTTTTTCTACTTTCCTCTTGATGAAGAGTTTGGCTGGGTGTAGAATTCTATGTTGAAAATAATTTTCGTTCAGAGTTTTGAAGATGTTGCTGCGTTGCCTTCTTGCTGCCAGTGTTGCTGTTCAGAACAGAAGACGATTCAAGTCCTAATTCTTTGCGTGAGACTGGTTTTTCTCTCTGGAAGCTTGTGAGAATGTTCTGACATTTCATGATGATGTATCTTGATATGGGTCATTATGGGTCATACTTGGACACTTTCAATCTGGAAATCTGAGGTTATTTTGATGTTGATTCCTTCCTCCTTCTCTGTTCTTTCTTTCTGGAACTCTTGTTGTGAGGCTATCTGCTCCCCTGGACTCGTTCTTTTATTTCCTTATCCTTTCTTCCTCCCTCATCTATTTGTCTTTTTGCTCTACTTTCTGGGAGATTTCCTCAGTGTTATCTTTCAACCCTTCTATTGGATTTTAATTTCTAAGAGCTCTTTTTTAATCCTTTTCTATGGCATCCTGTTCTTCTCATGAACGTAGTATCTTCTCTTAGCTCTCTGAGACTAGTAATGATAGTTTTCTGAAAGTTCCCTTCTCCCTGCATAGCTTGTGTTTCTTCCAATTTGCTTTTTTTCTATTTAATTGTTTCGGTCCTTAATCTGCTTTTTATAGGCTTTCTTCAGATATCAAAGAATCTTTGGCTGAGAGATAATGATTGAGAGTGGGAGACTAAAAAGCTGATTGGAAGTTGTGAGCAAGTAGGAGGGGCTTGAAAACTTGGATCTTCACTGTAGGGTGATCTGATGGCCACTGTTGGGAACTGACAAAATACGTTTCTTTAGTTCCTTCCTCTTGGATGAGCTAGATTCCCTCGTAACTGCTCTTCCAGTACCTTGCCTGGATGGTAAAAGTTTCCTGGGAACTATGCAGATTAGAGGGTTGGGTGGGCCCTCAGCATAAAGCATTTATTTTATATATACGGTTATTACATTTTCCTGTTTTCCATAGAGCAGTCATGTCCTCAACTGTGCTGGCTTAAGGCCTTAACTTGCCTGAGGGCAAAGTTTTACCTTTCCAGATAATAAACCTCACCTTTGGCCGCAGTGGAGAAGGAGCAGGTATCCAGTGGTATGGAGTGGGCGAGGGGATTCAGAGATCTGGTTGTTTTTCAACAACTTTTAGCCTCTCCTCCTTCCCTTTTACCCCCAGTTCCAGAGGTACTTTCAAATTGTTGCATTGATTGCTCTCCTTGCCTGTTCTCTCCTTCCTTCCGGTTTTATACCTTTTAATAAAAACTCTCTTTAGTGTGATCTTAGTGGGGTTTGGGGAGACAGTGAAAATAGATGGTATGCTCATTCTGCCTTTTGCCTAGAAGCCTACTCCTTCTTTGCCTGGCAAATTCCTTCTCATCTTTCAAAGCCCAGCTCAAACAGCTCATCCTCCAGGAGGTCATCTCCAGCATTTCCACGGAGAGCTCCCGCCCTGTGCTCCCTGGCACTGTTTCTTTGTTTATGCATCTCTTTCTCCAACACGACCATGAGATCTGTGAGGATAGAGCACACACCTGCCACGTCATGCCTCTCTGGGGCAGGCACAAAGAAGACGCAAAGTACATATTTGCCAAATGACCGCAGTGAACTTGACTTGCTGACGACAAAATCAGTGTCTTCCACTTTCCACGTTGCCTGTTTGTTTCAGCTGCACCTCCAGTGCCCTGGCAACAGCAGCTGCTGCGGGGGCCTTGGACCACTTGAGAGATGCAGGCATCAGGGATGGCTCTCTCCTTTCCTTCTTCCATTCTGTCCTTTGTAGCCATGAACTCTGAGAGCAACAGGGAGAAGCCAGACGTGAGTCTGACTTATAGAATATTGGGGTATTTTATCGAATACTCCCTGTGTCATCATGGGAGTAAGCTTTTCTCTGTTTCAAGCCCAGCCCAAAGGGCAAATTTTCATGCCTCAATTGCCAAACACCCGTGTCTCATGATGACCAGCCAGGGCCATGGTCTTCTGCTCAGGAGTGCCTACCATGTTGAGATCTACAACACTGCTAATTAAGGCTGTAAGATTTCCAGGGTTCTAGCTATCTCTAACATCCATACCTTAGTCCATTGTTGTACCTGACTCCCTCCTCCCCTCTCCTCGCCCCTACATATATAATATATCTCAGGTCACCTGAGTTTTGTGTAGCGGATTAGGAAAGAGGTCTCTGTGATCACCATCGTACACTGTAAATAAGCCATTTCCAGTTAGCAAGGAGAAAATGT